TAGTGATTTTATTTGCTTCAACTATCTGGACACCTGCATAATTTATTTTTTGTGTGTTTTTCCCCCCTTCACACAGGAACGAAATAATTGTCTGACAGACTCGAGAGCTCTGAGTGTCAGTCAAACTGATTTGGCGCATTGAGATTCTTGGAGAGAAGCTAGCTAATATTCCTTTGTGAATAAAGAAGCACTGAGATCTTCAAAGCTTTGGTTCCTCATCATTATGTATAGGAACACATAGTTCGTAGATTTTTCTTTCAGTTTTGCAATGGACTGCTGTTATTACTTCTCTAAATAGGGATAATTTAAAACGTGGCGTAGGTGGGTATTTTCTTCTGAAAGAAAACTATGTAGGTATATATTGCTCATTGCACTGCTCCCATTCATGTTACTTACATCAATTTCTTTAGGAGGTCTGAGTAAAACAGCAGCCAAACAACTCTAAAAAAAAGCAAACACATTTAAAGCATACCAAAAGGCAAAGATGTTTGAAAATGAGGGCAAAATGAAATGTGTAGTAGTAAATACATGAAGTGCTGGAGAAAAGGGTTAGTTGTGTGCATTACTGTATCCATTTGAACTGAACATACTGTATTGGTGGGGCTGTCCATCGCTCCACTGAATATTTTAATGTTAAAGACCTTAGCTAGCAAAACAGCACTTAAAGCATGGATTACTTAACCACTAGATTGAGCTAACATGTTTTGTAAGAGATGGCTGGGGTTACGTTGCATATAGCATGAATAGGAATTCCTTTGGCTGCAACTTAGATACCCACTGATAAAAGTCTTAGGGCACAATAATGGATGGAGATGGGACAGCTCAAGCTGATGAGGACAGATGGAAAATATTTTGGCCTTTGTCTCGTGTGGTGGAAGGATAACTGAAGTTCTGGACTGCGTCTGTCCCAGGGCAGCTGCTGTTGCTCCTGGGGAAACGCCTCAGGTCGACTTTCTCGCTTGTCCATTGGAATTCGGTCCCTATTCTCTGCGTGCTCCGAGTGCTCTGGCTTTTCCCTGTGCTGATCCCAGATGCTGCCTTTCTCCACAATAGCTGATGCCAGCAGAAGTGTGCAGCTGCAGGCCAGGCTGCTGCGCTGGGAGCAGCTGCTGAGTAAAGGACCGTTCCAACCTCGAGGGCCCAGGGGAAGCACGGGATGGCCGTCGGTGGCGAGCAGCTTGTTTGGCCACGCAGCCGTGTTACATCTGCTGACAGTCACATGTATGCTGTTTGTACAAAGGACTGCTGCTGGAACCAAGTATGTAAGTTTTAAGTATTCCATAGACACCAGTGTTTTCTTTTGCTTTTCTGTAAAGCTTGTGATTTTGTTCATATTTTGTAAAAAAATTTTATTTGTGTGAAGTTGGTTGAAAAGTGTTTTTGTTTTGTTTTTTAAAGAAAAGTAAAAATGTATTCATAGTTGTAGTTGTGAGTTAGAAAATGCGGAACAAACTTAGGGAAAGCTGGAATACCCATTCAGGATCAGCACTGACTGAAGGAGCTGAGAGACAAGTTTTAGTGCAGAGTCTTTGGAGTTAGGACTTGTTAGAAGTATTCCTCTGCTTTGGCATCTGGTTCTGAGCTGTGTTACAGTAACTGATGTGTACTGCTGCGTATGTAATGCACTCTCCTATGTTTACCAGGAGGTACCGTGTCAGCATCTCTCTAAAGAAAGCTGCACATGGTGCACTTGCTGCAAGGACAGTTTAGAGATGGTGAGATACGATGCTGCTAATATGTAGAAGTTAGCACAGAGTAGTGCAATTCATTAATGAACTTGAGCAAGAACAAGTTGTTGCTCAGTTATCTTAACAATATATACTCATATAATGTAGACTTTTGAGTTTTAATCTTTTATTAAAGAGCTTTTTATATTAAAATATATATATATATCTAATATATACTTATTTTTCCCTAAAGCAAAATGTGCTCTGTGCACCCATCAGTACGTTTAGGTCTCTGCAGAGAGACAGGCTGAGCACTGTGCGCAGAGCCCTGTGCTGGCTGCTCAGCTGAGGTAGCTGTGCTCTGTGCCAGCTCCACTGCAGTGCTGCCGGCCCGTGGGCAGCTCCTGTGGTAAAGCTCTGACTGCAAACACCCCAGAGAGCCCCTCTGTTCCACAGCAGTACTGTGCTACTGCCATAGGAGTGGCTCAGTGGGCCTTCCAACAGTGTTTCACTCTGAGGCGTTCCTAGAAGCCTAACTTACTTAAAAATAATTAAAAAAAAAAAAAAAAGCTATTTGGATACAGAACTGAGTTTGGCAATAAGGAGCTATTTGAAAGAAATGGGATATTTTCAAACAGTTTTGTCTTCAACATTGAAAGAAAATTCTTCACAGACTCGAAAGTTCAAATGAAAACACAGAACCGTGTTAGTGATCAACTTACATGAAGCTCCCAAAATGACTGCAGTGTGAGAGCTTTCTCACTGAGAGTTGCACACAGCTCTTACTGTTGCTAGTTTTCCCAGTGCTGTGCTTTTACATGTTTGAAACTCTTATTGAAGTGTGTTGGAAGATAAGTCTGAATTCTTTGAGCTGCCGCGTACTCAACAATTCTTACGTTTAAATAGTTTTCTAGAAAAGAAACTCACATTTCCTAAATCCGAAAGGATGATGGCCAAGCACTTAGAAAAGGTCTTACAGCTATGAGCCAGTGTGCTATTTGAAGTGCAAGAGAAACTTTTACCATGCAGAAACAAACTTAGATTCAACTTGAAGTCCTTGTGCTCCCATCAGGAATCGGCTACTGCCACGGCCTGGCTCACACACACTGCAGCTTCAGGTGGGCTTCTTAGTTTGCTTTTACACAGGATTTTCTTTATGAATTCCCTGTTCTGGTTGTAGCTAGCAGTCTGCTAAAGTACAAGACTGAAAAACCCAACTGTTTAATTTTCTTGGACATCTTCAGTACCAAATTTTAAATCAACAGGTCTGAAGCCGAAAGCTGAAGAAGACCTTTGGAATGGACAGGCACCTTGGCAGGAGAACTGCAGCCTTGGTAGTGCTGCTGGTTTTAATCTGGCACGTGTTTCCTTGCTCAGAATCATAAAGCTGAACCTTATTGTAAAGGTTACAAGGAGTTGAGGTTATGCCCGTGCCTCTCCTGTTTGCAGCGGCTCACTGAGGCTGGTGAGCTGCATGTAGAACAGTCGTATGCAAAGGATGGGCAGAAAGCTGCCTGTTGCCTTTCTCTCTGGTTGTGCAGAAGTCTTCAGCAACACTGGCAACCTTTATTCTTGAGTTTGTTAGTTCTTAGTGTAAAATGCAACCATTTCATGATCAGAGGAGTAACTGGGCTGCTCTGATGGCTGTGCTTGTAGTGCTGCAAGGATGGAGCACAGTGGTTAAGCAATGGAAAAGCAATGGGATGCATCTGAGTTTGTATCCTTTCTTAAAACAAAAGTTCCCAAACTTTCCAGAACTATAGTAAATTAGAATTGGTTTTAAGCTTGAGAAATATTTATCCACTAATTCTGAAAAGTGTGGTTCTGTTGCAAGTATGTAGTAAAAGATGTGCAGTGCTTCATCAAAAGTGTGTTTACTGTGAGAGGAGCTCCAGTATTAGTGATGTATTGTCTGACAGCTGCTAAGAGCAGGGCAGTTTGGGTTGTCAGCCTCTACTGAGAGAACAAATGTTAAAAGATGTGATGCTGTGATGTTTTGCTTCCTTATAGCAACTTTACATTGTTGCAGACATAGAAGTGTTTGTATCAGTGTTGGGGTTTTCCTATGTGGTTTGGAGGTAGATTTTGAACATTTACATTTGATGTTTTTCAAACCATTCTGATAGTCTCAGTACACTGATTAGTCCAGGTCAGTAGTGAAGAAAAAATATTTGTTAATGTTGATTTGTCATTTTGAGAAAAATAGTTTTGGTTTTTTATATATATATATATATATATATATTTGATGTGTGGATTTCGTATCTGATTACAACCTTAAAGCTTTCCAAGATTGGCTTTAAGATGCTCATTTTGCTCTGCATGTCTCATTACTGTTTGTTATAGCAATGGAAGAATCCAGTTTGGAGGTCCTGTTTGTCTCACCCTGGAACAAATGGCATTTGTTGCAAATAGTATTCACTGTCATTTCATCAAGAAACTTGTAATGAGGTCATTTTGCGTTTCACTACATCTGCTTTCTAAATATATCCTCCATGTCTCTTTTTTATCTTTACAAATTAACCTGCTTTTACTTCTCAAGAGCAGTCTGTTCCCAGAACTCGGTATGTTCCTTCTGAAAAAGGTCCCTTGAAACACATCACAGAGCTGAAGATTAATTTGAAACTGTTTAAAAGTTTTTCAAAGCGTAGAAAATATTGAAAATGCTCTCACAGGGTAAAAATGAACATACTCAACACATTCTAGAATGTAAATCTGTGTAAAAAATAGTTCCATTTTTCCTGTATAGAAACAAATTTTGGTTGTGAAATCCAAAGATGAATAAAGCTGTATAAAAGGGAAGGTTCCTAAACTGTATTTATTAAAGCTTGTGTGTTTCAGCAGTGTTAGCATCAGACTGACTGGGGCAGAGCTTTCCCAAATCAATGAGGATGTCCAATCTCCATACCCCCAAAGCCCTTCTCATGTGCAGCATGTTGGACCACAGACTGGTGGTGAGTGTGACTGACAGAAGGGGTAGAAACTGCAGCTATCACTGCTGAGCCTTAAGACATACAGCAGCCTGTATGTCAGTGTCCTGCTCTGAATGCACTGCCCAGAGAACGAGGCTCGGGGGTGGGGTTGATTGCTCTTAATCAGCTGCACCCACCTGTGGCTTTAAAAACATGTTGTGTGTGTGTGTATATATCTATAATTACAATTCACCAACTATTACAATAGGATGAGCAAAGTACCAGACAAATTTACTGGGAGCTGGGCCAGCAAATGGGAGAATAATTCTAGTGGTAGCTATGCTGCACGAAACGTCAGGATTTGAAGAGTGAGGTACTCGTGGTTATAAGCTATTGCAATCTGATGTTTGAGAACACAAAGACATAAAAGCTTCATCGTTGGGTTTTATTTTAAAAAACAATTTATAAAATTACTGTGGTCATTTACAAATTACAGATTGGGGAACCTGGGGGGAGGGGGAGAGGGGGTGAGATGGGAGAAGGAAATGCATGAAAGGTTAACAATATACAATGATACAAGTGAGCATCACCCACTGCACACACACAGTAAGTTTTAAGGCCTTTGGAAAGTGTGGACAAATAACATCATCTGGCTGGCACCCAGAGTAGTTAGTCTTGAGGCCACCAGAAAAAGATGTAATAAATAGCACAAAGATGGAAAGAAAAACATGGAAAGCTCTGATAAAAGCCTCTGAGGAGAGCAGGGGCTGTGTGGATGAACAGAGCTGAAGGTGCTGCTCTGCCTTGCAGTAAGGATTATTCTCCAAAGCATTTATCTCACAAGGAGAGACTGGTGAACTTTTATCCAGTTACAAAAAGAGCATCTTTGCACAATGTAAATAAAAGAAAGCAACAATGTTGTTGTCATATCACCTTTTATGCATTTCAGCATCCCTTTCTCTGCTCTAGGAAGAATTTCATTTTACTAATGCTTCCTGAAGCAAAGCAGGTTCAATGCACTTTTGGAACAGGCTACTGCAAAAAGAACTTACTTCATTCCTTTCACACCTTCCAATCTCACTGTATAGCAGCAGAAGGATGGAGGTAGATGAGGAGCAAACACTACTCTTAAAGTCCTCACGCTTGCAGGGTGGTGTGACGCAGCTCCAGGCGTTGGTTCAGGTTGTGGCACTCTGCTGACCATCAGTCTCATTAGCAGCTGATTTGCCCAGGTTATTCCTAGTGCTGGAAAGACTCTGCTGTTAGCAGTACTGTAAAGAAAGCAGTAGAACACAAATGATGTAGCTCCCAGTTTATCTAATGTATCAAGCTTAGCAGGATTCAAACAATAAATATATGTGCTTGAACCTCATTAGCAGCTTGATGTCAAAAGGTATTTGGACCATTTTCCTTAAGCAACAAAAACAATCCATAAGGCTTGGCTGCTGTTTTTCTAAGCAGACACAAAATGCGTGCAGTTCTACCGAAGAGGAGAGACACAAAAACCCTCTTGTGCAGTGACTCCAGCAGTGCTGCAGGGAATCTGGCCCTGAATTTGCTGCTGAGGCATTACTACAGAACCACACGTGGTGGTTTCCTCTACTGCACAGCACAACAGCTGTTACTGCCACCAACAAATTCAGTACTGCTGCATAAATGCACCACTGCTGTTAGTATGCAGTAGTTTGTGCTGGAGCTGCAGGAAGGCACAGTGGTTAAATGCTGCCCTGTGCAGCTCTGTGACATTTCTGTGGTGGGTGACTCACCTGTAGCCACACTGCACAGCTTCTGACTCGCTCACAGCATCGGTCACCTGAAGCAGAACAACAACATTTGTAGCTGAGCTGCTCTGATGCATCTGATTTCACTGAACAGAAAGGCGGGGAGCAAAGCCAACAAAATTCAGATTATTGGATCGTGTATTAAACCAAGTTAGAAAAACCTATATTCTTTCAAAGCAAACTAAAAGCAACTTCTGCTAGCTATAGCGTATGTGAATTTAATTTCTACCAGACAGTGAATTAGTTTAAAACAACAACCCAAAGGCCACCTGTACCATATTACCTCCTCCATTTGTCAGACTCCTCAAGGACGCTCAGAGTTAGCCTTGGTTCAGAAAACTACACATCTCCATTCCAACTCTCAGACTCCGCACCCATCAAAACACAGCCTTGAAGGACATTTGTATTGATGCCATACCTGATTAATGCACATTATTGGAGTCCTGAATCTGGTGCTTAAGCCATGTAGCTGTGCTCCAAACGTCTGCAAGTAGCGAGCCTTCAGAACAGAATCCGAAGCTCCAAATTCACATCGAAACAAAGCAGCAATGGAATCGATGACCACCAAGCGCACCACGCCTCTCATGAGCAGCAGGGAGAGCCTCTTCGTAATGCAGTTGTGGAAGGTGTCCTGTCCCCACAATGCACACAGACAGCATTAGAACAGTTCACGTTTGTAAAATCGAGCTGGTAACTACAGCTCTCATCACAGAAATGCGAGCTGGTGGCGTTTCTACTCATAAAACGAGTTTGCAGATTTGAAGTCCCACTATTTTTAGCAGGTATGTTACGATTTTACATCAAAAAACTGGGGACAAGCTGTGCATGTGCAACCGACTGCAGTTATTTGCAGCTGTTTTAAAGTATGTACAGGCATCTTAAAATCCCAAGAATGTAGTAATACAAATCCTGAACAATTCCTGTTTTGCGGGATGGTCTCACTGCAATACTGAGAACTCAAGACCAGCATTAAACATCCCAAACAGAAGTGACTGAACTGCTGTTTCAGTAACTGAATACTGTGAAACCACCAAACATGGCAGTTGTAGGGAGTTTAACACAAATGCTTTGCAGCATGCGACCTCTTTCATACAAGTATTAGATAAAAGGGTCTTGCAGCCCAGGGGTCTACAGCAGCTGAATATAAAGTAGAGCAAACACATGGTGACAGTCTCAGCTTCTGGCCAATTTGTTTCAATATGGCCAAAAAGGTGATCAAGTGAGTCTCAGTTCTTCTGTTTGCTGCCACTTCAGCTCTTCACAGCTTTTACGACTGAATTGTGATTTTGAGTCTGATCTGCAGTAAGATCCATTCTATTATGCTAACTGTTGTTTTTTGGTTGTTTTTTTTTTCCCCCCCTCAAAATCACTGACATTATAACATCAAAGACATTTGATTTTTTTAAACGAGGGGTAAAAAGCCCCCTATGTATCCTGATACACACACGTACACAAACAGAATCAATGCACTGCAATATGTGAATTGTAATCATCTACCATGCAGCTGCTTCACTTTCTAGCAAGCAATGCTTTACCTTTTCTCCAACAACTGGAACGTTAACTAACAAGTGCTACTTTTGAGCCTTACAGAAAACAAAACTTTCAGTGTTCCATCAGTAAACAGTGTACTCAGAGCCACTGAAGGATGACAACCTAGATGGCAAGGAGGCAGCACTTTTTCCTTCTAAAATACTATGAGTCTACTGGAGAGGCATGGCAAGACAGCTGCACTGCAGCTATGCTGTGCATTACTTATTCTAGGCAATGGTTTTTGCATTCTACCTGTCACATTTTCAATTTACTAACTCTAGTGTTGTACTGCAAGTTACTCTGCACACACAGAGCACGTTCTGCATGTTGATTGGTATTCTGTCTCCAAATTCAGTGAAGGAGCCACAATAAAACTGTGTCTGGATTTTGGCTGAGGTTTTCTTCATAGAGGCTCCTACAGAGCTGTGTTTTGGATCTGTGATTAAAATAGCTGGGGATAACAGGCAGCTGCTTTGGTCTCCTGCAACAACCTCCTCTGGTTACTGGATTACAGCATTGCGATTGGGTGTTTGTAAGCTGTGCTGCCACTTACCAGGTCTGCTGCGTGCTCAACAAAGATACTGTTCCCAAACCTGATCTTCTGTATGATTTCAGGTGGCACATCTGCACGCAGCTTATGCTGCTGAGCTATCAGCTGCTGCAAACGCTTACTTGGGAATGCATCTTCTGTACAAATGTAGACAGCTCCTGCAATCGAGAAAGCACCCCCTGTTACTGCAGCATGACTTTTACACAGACAGCTTCCTAATGGTACAAAAACAAAATAAGGAATCACGCACTCACAAGCCAGGCACACCTAACTGGAAATTCATTTTACTTTTCTGGCACCCATACTGAATTGATGATGAACATCTCCACCACCACTGTGACTCTCGTAGCTGCCAGGCGCTTTTTGTCACCTGCTGAGAGTTTTATGCTGTGCTCCCCAGCAATCCACTAGGTGCCACTCTTCCTGCATGGCTGCTGAACACCTGCCTGCCTGGCTGGGACGATGACAAGCACTGCAATGTAACCCACGGAGAGCAATACCCTTCTTTAAAACCGCACATTAGATACCAAAAGATTATAGTTAATCAATTACACGTGTGATCTATGATGTTCAATCACATCACACAATCAGTGTCCATACGGTTTTACTGTGGGTCCTGTTAACGAGTGTGCGTTACTGCTGAGAAAATTAACTGCACACATCAAAGATGTTGGAGAAAAAAATAAATATGTGCAATATTTTCTTAATAAAAAGCCTAATTTTCTTTGGCACTAAACTTCCTAGCTCAGTTCTCCTCAATCCCTCCATAAATTCTTGTAGAAATCACTGCAGTTCATGTACTCCCAGTCAGATTTTCAGTTTCTAAAACATCAGCAAGCCAAGAGAAACCTCTGTAACAAATTTGATGTTACGTGTATTCAGCATCAGTATTTGCTCCAATGGGCTAATTATGGCTTGCAACATTGAATTTCAAACTAATGGAAGCCACGCTAACTTGTGCTGAGATATCCTTAGGCTAAAGGAGCCCTTGGAGCAAAGCATTCCAGACTTCCCAACTACCGTTCTTATTATTCACAGCTGATTACTTTTAGCACAGCACTTCCTAATTCAGACAGACAGCCATTTCTTTACCACAGACAGTGACTTACAGAGAGAGCATCTGCTTTTTAAAAATCACTCTGACAAAACCATGTGTGACCAAAACGGCAGAAGCGCGTATGGAACAAAGGAGTGCCACTGAATTGCTCCATGCAGTGCCTGCTGACATTCACTGACCCTTGCTGAACATTTACAGAGAGCAAACAGTGGCTGTGAGCACAGCGAGGCAGTGGGTGCTGCGTTTCAGCAGTGGTCGCAGTGGGATCACCACCACTGGTGCTGTCATGAGTGCAGCGCACGGCTCTTGTTCATTGCTGGTGAAAATGCACGGCTGAACGTGGTGACTGTGTTGAAAAACAGCGTTTTGTAGCTGAGAATCTGTCCCATCAAACAGTGTCACTTTGCTCCTTGTGGCTGCTGTAAGTTCCACAGATACAAATAGGAGGCATTACTTCTGGAGCGAGCTACACAGCCCAAGAGAATTCCTCTTCACTCAGCGTGGCCCAGGCAAACCAAACCAACTAAAACTACTCAACTCAGTATCAAAGGCTGATGCCTTACCATGCCTCCAAAGCACTGAATACTATTCACATATCTGAAAGGATAGATGAATTGCCATAACCTGAATAAAAAGACGAAATTGGTACACAAACAGAAAATGCCTCGGCACCCTCCTGTTTACAGCTCACTAAGAAAGCCTCATCACCACCAGCAACACAAGTATTTTTCACTTCTCAGAGGGAAGGTGGGAGGTAAGAAACCTGTTATCCTCAGTGATCCTATAGACATCTTTCCTTACAGTCCCGCAGCTGGGATGTATTTTTCTTCAGTTTCAACCCCAAACCCTCAGGAATTGCAAGAGCTTGTCACACAAAGTAAGAATTTCCAGTCCCATGAACCCAACCTGCACCAAACCAGCCTGGTTAATGAGAAGCAGTAGCAAACAACTTTTTCTAATTTGGAATTCTAACATGGAAATGCATGTCACATTACATTCATGTATTACTCATGAATATGGGCATGGAAAATAAATTCAGCCAATATGCAACAGACCATAACCGACATTGTTAGAATGGCAGAAGGATAACCTTGAGGCAAAGGATGTCCTCATTTCTTGGTTTATTGCCAGCCTTCTAGAACTGAGAATTGTAAACAGGATTAGCATGAAGTCAAGCAAAGAAGATACAGGATAAATCTATACTGTGTAAAGAAATGTAATTCAGCATTTCCATCTATGGAGGACGGAGGCCATGGAGCACTTCCATCAGCCTTCTGCACCTTGCCCACCTCTAAAACGTAGCTGTTCTCAACAAGCAATACCAAACTTGCCTGTTGTATTGGAAAAAAAAAAACTGAAAGAACCACAAAGCCTGAAGCTGGCAATTCACACTTTGCTGCTACTGTTCAGCATCTAAAAGCCTGACAAGAGCTCTTACCTTTCACCAAAGCATAACCTTGGAAAATTGGATAAAAACCTGGACTCCCAAAGTAGTAATTAATTTCTGACCACACTGACACAGAGACCAAAAGGTTCCAATTTAACTGAAGTGCCCACATTACAGCACCCCAAATCCCACCACAGAGTGGTGCACAGTGCACTTCAACACAGGAAGGAACTGCCCAGAACATACCTGCTTCTGTTCTGATTAATTACACAACTTAAACCGAAGTAGGGTCAGCTAAAATGTAATTTCTGCCCATTAAATTAAACCCAGTGCAACATGGAAGGAAGAGTAAGACTGCTGCCAAGTCACACTGATGGCATCAGGAGTAAACCCTTCCACGTGAGGGCACTGAGGCCCTGGCACTGCTGCCCAGGGAGCTGTGGATATCCCATCTCTGAGGATGCCCAAGGCCAGCTGGAGCCCTGGGCAACCTGAGCTGGTGGGGGGCAGCCCTGTCTGTGGCATGGGGTGAAATCATGTGGTCTTTCTGGCTCCTTTCAATTTGAACCATTCTGTGATTCTTTAACATTCTTACAGACAGTAGATTCCTCCAAATGGCAAATCAATCAATATTTACATGTCAATACTTACCTGACTCTAATCCACCATATCTGTGAGGATACTGCACACAAAGACACAGCTGCAAACCAATCTGAGTCTTCCCAGCAGAACTTTCCCCAGCAAGTTCTGTGATTCCCACTAAAGGAATGCCACCTTTCAACAAGTCATCCAGCACCGAACATCCCAGGCTTAGCTTCCGGCACTGGGAGGAGAAACAATCCTTCTCTTGGTAGAGCTGAAGTGCTGTGTGGTTTTTCAAAGGATTAAAAAAAATAGACAGAAAGAAGGAAAAATTCACTTAGTATCCTTCTAATGCACAGTGACACAGTACAGATGTTGACGCTGTAGATTTGTACCTACAAGGGATGCCTCCTTTGTCAATGGGAGAATTCCCCAGTTCAGCCCAGGCTTCCTCACAGAACCTACTGATTGAATGCCTGTTTAAAACCCAAGAAATTACCCTGAGCTGAAAAAACCTTCTCCTTTCTTCGCTTCTAAGGAGCCTCTGTGGAGAGCTACACTCAGGGGAAGATCTTGCTGACTGTGAAACAGCACTGCTGGCATCTGGCCAAGACCTAAAGCTATTTGCAGCCCACAAGGAAATAGATTCTGATAGCAGAGCAGCCACGAAGCATTTTTGCAGGGAGTGCTTCAGATCCAGCTTCATTTGGAATTAAGTGATCACATAAAATCAGTTCACGTAGTTTATAATATACCATGCAAACTTTTCAACCAGCCTCGGCCCAAAAGGAAATTATTGAAAGAAGGAGGGAAAGAAAAAAAATCTTGTGTTCCTCCAATCAAGTTTTCCAGACTGGAAAATTACTTTGCTGTTTTAAGCTGGCTTGATCCCAAAGAATGGCTTTGATAAAACTTCAGCTACTTTCAAGGTCCCACAAGTGTGCCCTTAAGGTAAATAAATAACTAACTACAGCATAACTCGACTTTTCACTTTCAGAACCACACCGCTGTGTCAGTGAGGAACCAAGCTCGTATCTGCTCACCATCACAGTATTTCCAGGTTTACATAGAACGTTTTTTTTATACACTGACTTTATTACCTGTAAGCATACAGTTTTTCCTCAGAGTGCGAGAGACCGTTTTCAGCAAGCATTCCACATCTGCACTGGACAGTTTCATCAACCTTTGCAAGTCTGCTCCAGAAAGATTTAACACCTCTTTTATTGATTTTATGTCAGCTGAAACGGAGAGAAGCTTTATAAATACTTCCCACTGCATTGCAGTCGTGCACAAAAGCTTTCTGACTTTGCACTGCTCATTTCCTTGAAGTTTACCTACAGTACATTCTGTGCAGCTAACCTTTACTTCGAATGGATCAAAATAATACCACGGCATTTGGAAAATGACCACTGGCACGTGGCGAAAAGCCGTTGCTTCTAATTGTTCAGAACACTTGCTTAGGAAATACTAAAAGACCGCTCCAAACGTTAGCACAGCCCTGCGTGCCGACAGCCAGAGCATGCAGTCCCACGCAGGCAGGCACTACATGACGGCAGCTCACGTCCCCAGGCCCTTACCTTTCTTAAGGGCAGCAATCACCTTCGGGTTCAGGTCAAACTGGTCCCAGTCCATGTCCTGATACGGCACTGGGGCGAACAGAGCATGAGGCAATTGTTATTTGTTAAGCCAGGTATGCACGCGAGGAAACGTAAGCATGACTGACTGCGAACACTCTGTGGGAACATCGCGGATCCCACACTGCAGCACGCCACGACCGCCCCGCTCAGCGCCTCGTCCCAGCGCACCGGATTAGCGCCGGAACAACCTGGTGCCGTAAGGCGCGGCACTGTCGCGCGCGCCGCCTTTACGACAGCGGCAGTCGCACGAATAAGGCAGGAGGCCGCGCGCGCGCTCACCTGCGGGGCGCGGCAGCTGCCATGGGGCCTGGTGGCAGGCGGAGCGCGGAGGGAAAGAGAAGCGCTATTGCTAGGTGGCAGCTATTCAACGCGGCATTCTGACGAGAGTTTAAGCTCGCTGAAATCATCTGTGGCTACTCCGGCCTCCGGAAGGTCTCCGAACCGCTTAGCGCAGCGGATGCCGTCCACGGACAGCGGCAGAGATGCCGCGCGGCCCAACCCGAGACCACTTCAGTGCTTCCCCTCACCGGGCCTTACGACCTCCGCGCCGGAGCCGCCGCAGCCAATCGGCGGGCAGCTCGCTCGCGACGTCACAACTTGCCGGCCTATCAGAGCGCCTCATGGCCCGGGCTCCCCGGCACAGCCAAGGACCGGGCGGGGCGCACTACGGTCAGGCAGGGCGCTGTTCCGGGAGGCTGGGCGGGGAGCCCCTCATTTCCGGGCCGCGAGGCCGGCCGCTCGTTCTGCGCACGCGCAGCGAACCCCCAGAGGGGCGAGGAAAGAATAACACGCCCGCCTTTAGCCGCGAACGATGCAGGATTGGCTGGAAGTGTGCGAGCGGTCTCTATTGGTCCTCTCGAGCGGGAGGGCGGGGACCGGCAAGAAGCCGCTTCCTATTGGTCTAGCGCCGCGCTCGTCCCGAGCGGGCCGCGCGGTCATTGGGTGGCAGCGCTGCCAGTCCCGAGGGGCGAGTAGCGGCGGCGGCGGCGGCGGCGGCGGAGACTCGGAGGAAGATGTCGGGCTGCGAGGCTCGCGACGCCAAGAAGCTGGTGCGCTCCCTCAGCGGGCTGCGCATGGTGCCCGAGCACCGCTCCGCCCGCAGCCCCTTCGGCCTGGACGAGCCGCCCTGGGTGCCCGACAAAGAGGTACGAGGCCGGGCGGGGGTTCTCTCAGCCTGCGCGCCCCAGGGCCGTCTGCGGGGCCGCATCGGGCGCAAAGCGCGCGGCTCCGCTTGGCGTGGCTTAGCGGGCGCCTTCAGGCCGCTCGCTGGGCGATCGGGGCGTTTCGGTCAGCTTTGCTTTTCGATGCTCGTTACGTGCGCTCTGCGATCCCGACGTGCGTCCGGGTTTGGTGTAACGTGCGTCGGTCGTTAAGCCGTTCCCGCAGCCCGGTGCTGGCAGGCGCAGCGGCTGTTTATTTAGCGCTAGTTGTTTGCTTATTGCCGCCACGCTGTGGCGTGGACTCAGGCCAGCGCATTTAATTGACTTGCGGCCCCGGCTAAGCAGGAGTTTTGTGAGGCTTCTTGAGTGTAAGCAGGCAGGCGTTAAGCGGGGCCGTTCCTCCCGGCTGGGAACAAGGAAGAAAGTGCCGCCCTGCAGCGGGACGGGGCTGCCCGTGCCTCCTGCAGCCCGGCTGGGCCCAGATCTGCGCTGTGCGTACCTTGGCCTCTGCTGCCTGGACACCTGAGGGCTGCCGGTCATCGGGCGTAACTGGAGTGTGGGTCACGCGATCACTGAATGGTTGGGTTGCGAGGGACTTCAGAGCCCACCCAGCCCCGACCGTGCCGCGGGCTGGCAGCCCTCCAGCAGCTCAGGCTGCCCAGGGCCCCATCCAGCCAGGCGTTGGGCACCTCCATGGATGGTTGTCTTATACTAAAAGCAGTTTCCTCCCTGACATTGAACGTGGCTTGATATTTTAGCAAGTCTCAATTATAGCTGAAGAGTTCCATTAAAAAAAAAAAAAAAAAGTGCTTTTAACTCAAATATGTAGTGCCACCTTAATTCGACTGAAAGTTGTTTGGGGGTTTGTAGTAGCATTTATTTAAACTAGTTAGATAATATATTTAAGAATTGATGTATCTAAAATGCGTTAATCACTAGTAGAGCTCAACTGGTGATGTTCCTATAGAGGAAGTGCTGCAGTAGAAATGCTGGTAGAGTGCAGAGGTGGCCAAAGCTCCCAAGATCCACCTGTGTCCCAGATCTCACATGGCTGAGGACATACAGCTGTGTGAGTGGAGCTACTGGTGGGGCTCTGGGCTTGCAGCAGAGTGGAGCCGTGCTTGATGTGGCCGTGTGACAGAGCTGCTCTCCTGATAGCAAATTCGTGCAGCTCAGGCAGAGGATTGGTCACATGTGGCTGCGGTGTTATCAGAAGGCATCTTCCACTGACATCGTTCTGGCTGGGCGTGTTATGGCACCTGTTTTGATGAGCTTGCAAATGTTGTCACACAGTCACTGTGTTAATGTGCTTCACCAGGGGTAGGCTTGCATTGCTTCTATGTCAGCTTGTTATTATATATGCAAATAAAGTAAGTGAAGTGTAACTAAAGCTTCCTGTCTATCTGCATTGTTCCCACTTCTGTCTGGATCTAAAATGTTGCACTAATTCCTTATCACACTTCAGCAACTGCATCAGAAGTTCCTCAGCTCGTAACCAGTTCTTGTTGCTCCTGCATTATTACCAGCACCCAACATCTGGTTGCTGTTCCCTTTTCATCTTGATGTATGTAGTAATCTGATACCATTGATTGTGAAATCAGTATCTTAATAATTTTAATTAATTTTTATTTAATGTCTTGTTTTCTATCTTCTCGGTTCTACGGCAGTAGTTTTGAAAAGCCTGTGCCTTGAAGACATGAAAAGTAACTCAAGTGCCATGCTTTGTTTTCTGTAAATGTGAGCAGACTTAAGCAATCCTGCCTGCGTCATAAGGATGAATGGGAAGGATTTACCTTTAAAGATGTTCTCCATTTGCGAGCTGTTCCCAGGCCAAGTCATGATGCAAATGGGTTCTCATGGTTGTGGTTACTTAAAACAGAAGTGTCACGAAGGAACAACGTGTTGAGGCCGCTTGGATTGGAACTGTTCAGTATCAAAACCCTGCTGTGAGAGCTGGTAGCACATGCCATTTCCTTCTGATTTCTAACTGCACTGTGCACTGGGTTTGGTATTGGAAGGTTATTGGTGTATAAGGTATTGGAATTGGCCTGGAGGTTAGGAATGTTCTTCTACAAAGTCAGTATGAAATGTGAGGAAGGACAGTTCTGTTTGTTGCTGAAGGGCAACTTGTATACTTTAACCTAATGTTATCTGCGAAACCTATTCAAGATGGGATTGAGAAGAGCATTCTCTCCCTGGTTTGTGGCTTGTGCTTTCTGATTTCTGTCCAGAAATACAGATTTGCTTGAAGAAAATGAATCGGACTCCTGGTAAACTCAGAGTGGTTTGAAATTCTTGCTGTGTTCAGCTCCCAAACTATGGAGCGTGTCAAAACTTAAATCAGTCAACCAAGTTCAGTGTAGAGAAAATGTGGTATTAGCTGTAGAGCACTACAGAGCAAACCTTGGCACTGCAGGTGCTGAATGCTGGTGGATCACAGTCAGTGTCTTTGAGAAGCAGCTTTTTTGGAGCCACTGAGAAGGGAGGTGGTTTGGGGTGAACTCAGTACACAAAACAGTGCGGGAGCACTTCTAGTTCTGTTTTGTGCGGGATTGAGAAACAGCTTCCTGTGCCAGAGATTGCAGCGTGGTTATTTCTGCTCCATTACAGCGACTGCTGCTACTGATTTGTTAAGCCTTTTGTTTAGGTGTGTGAATGTTTTATATAAAACTGGAGTTACATGAAACTGAAATGTTTCTGGAGATTCTTCTCCTTAGCTGCTGTTTTTCTGTAGCTGTACAACGTGGGATGGTGATGGAGAAAGGGACTTCTGTTTCACACCAGAAATCGACTCCTGAAGCTGCTGTAACTGGAGAGAGTTCTTAGAAGATAAAGAGTTTGGTATTGAACTGTATTAATTAGAAGCAAACGGTGGTGACTGTGTGCTAAGCAGATAGCAGTGGCTCAGCCTAGGGGAGGTCACGGAGATGGCATTCAGCTGAACTCTGTAACGGCCTGGCTGCAAGAGTTTAGGTTTCTACAGCTGTAGGAACTCAGGAAAGAATGCGACTATGAATATGTGCCTTTGTGGAGACCCAAACACAAGGAAACGTGTTAAAGATACCTGAAATGCCATTTTGGCAAGATGCAGTACTCCTTAGGGTGAATGATGTTGGCAGATCCTATAGGTTAACATTAATTTGTACTGTTTTCTAGTGCCCGAGATGTATGCAGTGCGATACAAAATTTGACTTCATCACTAGAAAGGTAAGAGACAAAGACAAAATGTAAAGCTTTAACTGTTGCAATGCCAGTGGGGACTTCTGATATAAAATGTAAATGATTGAGTAGAATTTCATGCCAAGAGTAATGGATGTTACAATAGTTTTCCTTTGTGTTCTGCCTTTTCTGGGTAGAGGACGAGTTTTTCTCACCCAATTCCATTTCTGTGACATTCCTTTAGCTCAGTTTGTACCACACAGTTTGGGTTTTTTCAAAGTGCCAGGTGCTACCAGCTGGGTTTGCATGAAAAGGACAAGTTGGAGCTTGTGCTGGAGTGGGCTGCCAACATCAGCACTGACACTGAAACCAACTTAATGAACGCAGTTCTGCTTTCAGAGCTGAAATTAGTTGTGGCAGTGTGAACTAACCATGTTCTCAGGTGTAACGAATTACAGTCTGACATGAAAGAGCTCAGTTGTTACAATGGGGAGAGCTGAGAGCCGGGTTGTCCCTCTGTTCTACAAGCAGAACAGGATCTGTCTCATGGTCAGAAAACGTTCTGCTGACTGTGGGGGTTGTGCGGCCTCCTGGAAAAGCCAGCACTGATTTTAGCAGAGAGTAACGTTCCTCTGTGTGAGTGCACTGACACTCTGTGAGCCTGTGCTGGTGGAAGTGGGACTTGAAATGCACTGACATAACTGATGGTTTTCCATCTATTTTTTGGAGAGAGAAGGAAGGAGAAATCTTAAAGCGGACATAGGAATGAATTGGCTGCAAAGCAGTAATTCATTAGGCTGCTGTATTTAACTTCTGTTAACTTTGGGAAGTAAATGGAGGTCATTCATTAGGTTGATGTATTTAACTAATGTTAACTTTGGGAAGTAAATGGAGGTAGCCAAGTGTAGCAGGTACTTCAGAGGACTGCGTAACACTCGGAAGGTTAACAGTGATCAGAACTGCAGCGTATCACTTCCTTGTGTCAAGCATTTGAGGCTTGCTATGAGCCACAAAGCAGGTCCTGCTTGCCTGGGAACACTTGTTCTGACACGAGCTGCTGTCATCTGCTGAAAACTTGCATCAGGAAGAGCTGCCAGGGCTCCACGCCCCAGGAGTGATTGGAGCAGAAGCCACTTCTTGAAGCTGTGCTGATTTTGCCAGATCTGATTTGAACTGGCATTACAACTTGGTTGGATTTGCACTGTGCTGCCCGATGTTACTGATAGAGGGAGGACTTCAGGTTTAAGCTGTGAAGTTCTGTGGCTTTTTTTCATGGGAAACATTTGAGAACAAGTTTAGAGGGAGAAGAACAGAATCTGCCGTTGGAGCTCGGAAGGGACCTAGAAACTGCTCTTCTCCATTTCTATTGCCAGTGAGGCAAGGAAGGGATTTACTGCACTTTGGGTAAAATCCTTTCAGTGTCTCATTGGTCTGCTTCAGAAGTGTGTTGTCAGTGCCAGCAAAAGCTTGCAGTGCTGTTCATACTGCACACCACTCTCAGGGCTCAGTCTTCTGTGAGTTCTTCCCACCACTACAGCAGCTAATTGCCATTCACCTCTTGGCTGCTGTCCTGCCCCTTCAGTGTGAATATTTCACAGCTGAGAACTTCTGGTTGTTGGGTAGGAGGATGTTTAATGTAAGAACTTCAACACGTTATTCTGTAAACAAATAAAACATTCTCTCACGCTCAGCATCACTGCCGAAGATGTGGAAAGTGCTTCTGTGACAAGTGCTGCAGTAAAAAAGTGCCTCTGCCTCGCATGTGCTTTGTGGACCCTGTGCGCCAGTGTGCTGAATGTGCCCTCATCTCACAGAAAGAAACAGAGTTCTATGACAAACAGCTCAAAGTGCTCATGAATGGCAAGTACTGACTGCGTGTGTGCGTTGTTTTGGTCTCACATCGATAAAAATGCTGTGTTAAAAAACATCTGATCGACAGCAAGATTAATTCCTCTTGTCAAGCTGTTGCGCTGCCATTTTCTGTCCTTAAGACTTTCCTCGTTGTGTTTCTTGTTTGCCACTGAATTCTGTATCGCCAGCTTATTGAGAGAGATTGAAAACAAAAAGCCATTAAAAACAACATTTGAGTGCCTCTGAGGACTGATACGTGTGCGGTTGGCACTTTATTAAAATAGTCCATCCCTTGGCCGCATTTCTGTTGCACTAAACTAGGATGAAAATGCTTAACAACAGAGATTTTGATTTTCTTTTTGATGAGATACTGCGCTTTTTTTCAAGCTTTATCTGTGAGCTTTGATCTTATTCATGGCCTGTGGATGTGATTGGCGGCAGGACAATTCTGCACAGCATTAAAGCTACATGCAATAAAGGAATTCACATTTCAATTACATTGAAAAAGCTGAGTTTTCAGTTTTGAAAATACTCTGATGGTTTTGATGGGCTCTTTATTGTTGGCATGTTACAGGTGTGTGTAACCAGTATGCTAAACCACAGCCTGATTAGTTCCTAAGGAGATTCTAGGGCCCCAGTTCAAGAAAGGCAGGGAGCTGTTGGAGAGGGTCCAGAGGAGAGCCACAAAGATGATCAGGGGACTGGAGCACCTCCCCTATGAGGACAGGCTGAGGGAGCTGGGCTTGTTCAGCCTGGAGAAAAGAAGGCTGTGTGGGGTGACCTCATTGCAGCCTTTCAATACCTAAAGGGAGCCTACAGAGGGGAGGGGAATCAACTCTTTGAAAGGGTAGAAAACTGCAGGACAAGGAGAAATGGATCTAAGTTGAGGGAGGGCAGATTTAGGTTGGATGTCAGGAAAATTCTTTACAGAGAGAGTGGTGAGGTGCTGGAACAGCTGCCCGGAGAGGTTGTGGATGCCCCGTCCTTGGAGGTATTCAGGGCCAGGTTGGATGGGGCCCTGGGCAGCCTGGGCTGGTATTAAATGGGGAGGTTGGTGGCCCTGCATGTGGCAGGGGGTTGGAGATTCATGATCCTTGAGGTCCCTTCCAACCCTGGCCATTCTGTGAAGGCGGTATGTTCATCCCTGCAGTGCACAAACCATGTATCAGTGTGCTGGGCAGGTACTGGTGATGGTAGTTTTTGAAATAATGTACATTAACCCGAAGATTTTCCTTGAAAAAGTTTGCCCTGCTTGCATTGATGTTATGCAGCTGAAGTGTGGTTACTCGTGGCTTACCACAGACCCGCAGATCTCAGAGCCGTGGTTGTTTTGATCTCCTCGGTGGCTTTGCTGCTGCTGCTGCAGGTTTCGTGTCAGCTGCAACCTGTGTGTCTGCATTGAGGGGTCAGCGAGGTGCAGTGAAGTGGGAAGCTGGCAGTGCGGTGAAGCTCTGAAGGTGCGTGGTATGGATGATGGAGATGGGGCACAGGCCGTTTGGCGGTGCTCTGTGTTAGCATTATTTCCCAGGCCAACGCTAGTGGGATTAGGCAACAGAGGGAGTATGAGGTACGGAGGAAGTAAAGTGGTAGGCGTGTTGTCTGCTTTAATTTATGAATCACTTCAATGCTGAGATAACTTTCCTGATGTCAAAAGAGCTGTTTTGAGCAGGTGGGAAACATAAGACAGAGGCAGAAGTTTGCTGACCTCGCAGTAAGGCTGAGCTGGTCTAAAGCGCTGCAAAAGGTGGTGTTTCGTATCTGTTAAGCACGCAGCTGACAGTTGCATCCTGCTATTGATCCTTCTTTGCAATTTTGGCATGATAGCATCTTTGTTTTTGTCCTTCTCAAAGCCGTTCTCATTTTTCAAGGATTTATCTTAGATATAGTCCCTATTTGTACAGCATGCGGGTAAAGCAGCATCTAATTGCGAACGGGCGTGATGCAGAACATAACTAAAGACTTCATGTGTTCAGTGTGGTGGGTGCAGGAAGCAAAAGTGAGTTATCCTTTTTGACACTTCCATATTCCTCCCTAAATACTGCACTAGAATACTGAAGCTTTTCTTCTCAGGTGCGACGTTCTTTGTAACTCTGGGGACGTCGGACAAATCGGAGCTCATGGTCTGTCGGCTCTCCAACAATCAGAGGTGAGGACAGTTGATCGACACAGCACTTGTGAACACAGCTGTATTATTATACAGTAATCCAAACATTTGATATGGATTTGATATTGTTGACAGGAAAATCAATGATTTATTTATTTATTTATTTATTGTTATAAAGATACCTGGTTTTGGATGGAGACAGCCATTACGAGATTGAAATTGTACAAATCTCAACTGTTCAGATACTGACAGAGGGATTTACTCCTGGAGGTAATTTTTTCATTCAGTACAAATTAACTGTTAAGAATAATGTGGAGCTGTAATTGTTGTTCAAGCCAGACAGTGCATTTCTGGGTTATTGGTAGTTCAGGTGTAAGTGTGTTATTTACAGCAGTTGTTGGAATAGTGTTGTGCCTGGAAAACCTTCCATGTGGCTGCTGGGATTTTGGGGGAAGCCTCAGAATTCAGAAATGATTTTAGATGAGAGAATTTCTTGGTAAACCAAAGTAAAAGTGTTCATCTTGTCTGATCCTTTCTCTTGGCTGAACTTTGAGCTCACAGAAGGGAGCTGTCAGTTTCAGTTTCAGAGTCCAGCCAGTGCTTCTCTTCTGTTTGTACAAACAGTTCAGAGGAGAGTAAGAGAGAAGCTGTTTAAGAATATAAAACGGTGCTCTTAATTTCGTTCAAGATGAAGGGGTGGCCAAATTAAACTGGTAACATTTTTATCAGAAGGCAGCTATTACTGCTTCACCTCTTGACACATTTCATAGTATTTCAGGATGAACATGATTTCATTGAAATGAGAACAAATGGGGACAGGAATTTTAATGATTACTTGTTAGCAACATCTCTGTCACTGCTGGAATCTTTAATTGGACAGTCTATCAGTACAGCATGTTAACTTTAATGAACTTGATATTCAAATCAACCAAATGTGTTGCTGAGTTGCTTAATGCTCCTGTAATTTCTTGTTCATTACTCTTCTGATTGCTTTATCTTTTTGCCTGCCTGCCTTCCTTCTTGATGGTAGAAAAAGATATTCACACTTACACCAGCCTTCTGGAGAGCCAGCATATTACTGAAGGTATCACCAGTACCTTTTGTGAGCACAGCTCCCTCCAGCATGCTGTTGTCACCCTCTCCCATCTGCTTTCCTATGCAGTGTCAGCTTATTGCTTGATGTGTGTCTGTTCAACTTAAGACAAGTTATGTTCCAGTACTGATTATTCCTTCCCATCTATTCAATAAACTGAGAATGATTGTTTTGTAACTCTTTGGAGGAGAACCAAAGTACTTGAGTCCTTTCTTTGACCACGTGTGCTACTGTCTGCCCCTGTAGAGGACAGATGAGAAACTATCTTCAGTGGCATGCAGCTTTGCACATCACCCTCTTTCAACAGAGGTTTCCTGAATTGTGCACACCAGAAATGAGTAATGCATTTCCTGTGTTTTGTTGGCTAGTGCCTGGCAGTTAGTAGACAGGGTAGATGCAGTAGACAGGGATAAAGATGGTGAACTGCAGTCTGCCCCACAAGAGGAGGAAGTAACTGTTTATAAACACTGCGTGCTTTTGATCTCAGTGCTTTGACCAAGATGGTCTTTGGCATCTGGAGATGAGGGTCCTGGCTTCCACGACCCTTTCTGCTCACGCAGGCAGTTTTTGTAAAAATGTCCTCCTGTGTACGCGTGCTGTTGCTGTGGCTTTAGTTTCTGCTCTGCTACTTCAGTAAATGAGCTCCCCAACAGAGTGAATGTGAAGCAGCAAAGTGCTGTTCTAAACAAAGCTTCTGTTCAATTTCTGTGCATCTGGTTTGGTTTATCTTAATTTCTATGCAGCTAGAGAGACACAAGCACCTTGTTATTGCACTGCTGTCAGAACAATGTCTTTCGTAAGGGATTTCCTTCAGGAAATAAATGACATTGTTGCCCGTTGCCAGGTACTCTTGCCAAATTCCCAAATGCTGCCAGACTTGGATCGACAAGGATCCTTATTTGATACTGGTCTTACTGGACATTGGGAATTCAGTTTAGAAACCACAGGCTGTGTTGTGAAACCACGTCATCTATTTGAGACAGGTGGTAATACTGAAACAGGAGGGTTTTCTCAGTGTGTGCACCAGTGGCTTTTACAGGTTCCACCTCAGTGATTGCAGGAGAGAAGCAAGCAATACCACATCTGCCCATTCCACATCCCACTGTCCACCTTTTGTCACTGCTTCCTCTGATGCTGTGCCTGTTAGTTCACCCGCAGTTGTCAGCTTTGAATTCAGTGCTAAGATGCTCTCTCCAAATATGATTATTACCTAAAAGCATTGTGCTGATTTAGTTGGTAAAACATTGCTGCTCAGGATTTCTGCTGTTGTTTTCAGGAGGCAATACCCGTGCCATAGGTATGATTCTGCAGTATAAAGTACCAGGAGCAGAGGAGCTCACACAGATGAAATTTACGGCCAGTGAAGACTTCAGCTCTAACAAGAAGCTGTCAGCAAGCTGGCTGGCAGCTATGCACAAGGTAAGCAAGAGAGGCAAAACTTACACTAGGCTGAAGAAAGTAGTAGCAGTAGGGCATGCAGTCCTTGGAGCTTTTGTTCTTTTTTGTTGTTTTTCTTCTTAATGTGCAGACTTTAAGGCCTTGTTCATAAGAAAACAGAAGCTACAGCTGCTTGCTATGCTTTTAGCCTTATGCTGTTTGTGGAGGGAATTAGTTTGACAGTAATTTTTTGCTTTCACATTAGGCAACAAAACTTCTTTATGAGTCTCGGGACCAGTAAGAAATGAGCAAACTGCTTGGGAGCAGACACCAGCCTCAGAGGACCTGCATCTCACCTTGTGCTAGTCTGACAACTGGTTAACACTTTCTCTTGACTTTTTCTCATTCCAGTGTGGTTCATTATGTAAGAACTGGCACATACAATGTATTTCTGTTTTGAACCATGAGTATTCACTATAGCGTGCAATATGTATACAATTAATGCTTTAAACAGTCTCACCTTTTAAGACTTTGTATATTTTGTTAAACCTTTATTGCCTTTATTGGCACTTAATATGAAATACGAAAGTGACCTGCACTACAGCTAATGTACAGCACAACTTTTGTAGTAACAATTATATATACTGTTTGCCACAGAAAGCAAACAAAGGTGTATGTCTCTTCTGCAGAGAATAGCTTTTGGGTATAGATCTCAGGTTTTTCCCTCTATCCAAATGTTTAAAATCAATGTACAATAAAATCTGCCTTAGATGTGGTTTCATAGAATCCAATGGATTTTTTTCTTAAGGTATTTCACCAAATATCACCAAATTGGAATTACATGATCTTGAAACTTCCCTTCTGTAATAACAAAGCTTCCAGAATAATTTTCAGTTTTGTATTTTCTTTTTGGAAACTAGCTTTTGTTAATCTAACTGTAATGCTGTCTGGAATTGTATACATTTTACTGTACAAATATGAATAAATTAATTCACTTATTTAAACAGGAGGTGCTGCTTACTTTCACAACGTACTGTTGTGCTACTGGCTGAATGCGGGACCCTCATTTCAGTTTTAAGCCTTGTTAATTTGCTCAATCCTCTGACTAAACCTCCTGCAGCCAACGTCTTTCTCCTTCCACTGTCCTAGACTGGTAAAAATTGAGTGAGCAAACGTAAGAGACTCAGCTTTAAGTGTAAAAGACCCTTCAGAGCTTTTCTAGCCAGGTACGAAGTTGTTGCAGTTGGAATACCAGAGCTCAGTGTCAGGTGGTTCAAAACGGACATAGCAGTCGTTCTCTGTACACCGGGTACAACAGTGAGGAAGCCCCAGTCAACAGCCAGCTGGTCTTTGGTCTTTCCTGCTGACTGAGGAAAGGCACCTACAGGTGCCACGTGGATAAAGGTCAGGGAGAATGCAGCCAGCGCCTTAGCAGTACTTTATTGTGCACAGGTACATTTTCTCTGCATTAGTGTATCGGAGGCTCTTGAATCATGACATTCATGTAGCAAATTCTTCAACAATAATACCCTTTCACTTTTCACCACAATATATACAGTTAATGCTGACCTGTGGTAAAAGCAAGTTACAGCACTGCAGAGATGGATATATAAATTATACACAGAACTTGTACATGGGGAATTAATCAAATTGCATACTGTTTAATGGGAGAAAATTACAAGAAATATGGCTACAACTTAACTTATAATGGGAAATTCAAAATATACTTTTGGTATATAAAATCATGTACAATTAAAATTCCAGTGAAGTGCTTTTTTTTTCCTTTTTTTCTTTTTTTTTTTTTTTGCTTGAAACTACAATGTAGTGGAATAGATTATTGCATAACTTGCCTTGGCAACAGCTGTAGGCTGCCAAGAACCACAGAAACTGTCCTCAAATTAGCTATTGCCTTTCTCAAACCCTTCTTTATAACACCTCATTTCTGTCTTCTCCTTAAGTCAACATCTCTACACACCTCACTTTCTACTTCTATTCAGTCCTTCATTTTTTCTTTTAGACTGACCTGGGCAGACTTAAATTACACAGTATTACCCTTACCAGACTCTTACCTTTCTCAACTATTGCACTTTCATCCATGCAGACATACAAATCCTTTAAGCTGCTGCAAGTTCACTATTAATTGTTCTGTCCAGAACAGTGGTTATCAGGGGAACCTTTACATTAGTAGAGGTAACACTGGTGCTGTAGGCTGAATAATAAGAAAATATAACACCAAGTGAACTATCGTGTAGGGGCCTTGAAAAGTGTACTAATACTGTTGTTTGGTTAGTTTCTCTGGCTTGATTCTAAATGCAGATTTATACTAGATGCTAGACTATGTAAAGCTTTCGTTGGGGTTGCCTGAACTAGGATGTAAGTGCAAAAGCACGTTAACACTTCATCCCAGCCTTCGTAAAGCTTTGGTGAGTACTTACTGATGAATGGAATTGGTGAAGATCTTGTGTCCTAGAACCCAAAGAGTCGATGAGTAATGAGAGAACTCAACATTCACTGGTATTGAACAAAACATCCAAAATCCTGACATGGGACAGTTACTGTGGGGTTGGAGCAAACTGGACAGCTTATCTGCACTTCGCAAATGGCACCTCTGGACATTTAACACAAGAAAGCTCCTACCACACCGAACTTCAACTCAACACATCGCTGTAGACAACAGTTGGCGGAACACTGTAGGTATGGAGATACAGCTCTCCTCATCAGTGGCGGGTCACACAGAACAGGATTCATTTACAAACTGCAGATCTTGAAACTTTTGGATGCTGTCCATTTAACAAGAGAAAGCACCATTAAAACTAAGTATCATAGTTTTATTTCTCCGTGTGAAATGATCAAAAACAATGGCTCCAGTGTATGTTTTAAGTTTCCAGTTACCAGCAAGGTGTTGCACTGTTGTACAACTGAACTCAAGCAAGGGTTCTCTGTCTAGGTTTTATTCGTGGATATAACTGTAAAAACAGAATGAAAGTATTAGGCTTTGCATGGTTGACAGCAAATTAAATATAAAATCAATTAAGTTATAACTAAGGGGTACTGATGAGACCTAAGTGTTAAAAAGAAGAGTTTTAGGGGCATGAGGGCTTTTTTATTTGTTATTGAGCTACAGCAAGTTCTTTGGGGACTTCTGAAAAATTAAACCAGCAACATCAGGATGCCAAGGGCTGATTTATTTGTGCAAACAGGAGCAGATTGCTGCTCTGCAAATAACTTGGTTCTTTTAGTTGAAGATCCCACCCTAGGTTAGAAGATTCTTTTATGGAAATACAGGAGTTCCCTGTCAAGCCCCCAGAAGAGCTTATTTCGCACTCTCTGTCCACTTGGTGGCCTTCCATTCCTGGACTTTTGTGATAGCAGTGTTACATTTGCTGAGAGCTGCATAAATGACTTGCCTGAAGCTGCCACCTTCAAGGCTTTTTCCCATTTTTAAGTATAAATGTATGTTTATCTCGTGCCAGGTATTAAAAGCCTTCCTAAGTATCTTCCTGGGCCAAAACTTAGGCTGCCTAATAAAGCCACCACACTTCAGTTGCAGAGCATTGAGACGATGACCACAGATCCTACGTCAGGGACAAGTAAAACAATTAAAGGCAAGTGGTAATTCAGCACTTACCCCGAGAAGATTTTTAGGCACATAGCCTTCTTTATCATTGAGGCGGGCCCACCACCACTCCGTCTCGTTGTCATCCTTGCGTCTCAGAATAGTAATGGCATCGCCCTCGTGGAAGGACAGCTCATCGCTGTTCTGGGCCTCGTAATCCCACAGTGCATACACCACTCCTTTGTTCATCACTCCCAGCTTCTCCTGCACTCCTGTGAACAAGTTAGCGCAGTAGATGGCGATCTATTTTTCCCCGAGACTTCTGCTGTGGCTCAAACTTTAGTCTCCTTATTAACATTTCATACACCATTTTCAGCAATAGCAACTGCATAATCTTACTTCTATTCAAAGGAGGACAAAAACAGTTTGACAACTGTTTGAGCAAAGCAACTTTATAGAACTGGTGTGTTTCTCAAAGGCCTCGGTTCCGTACCAGAGCTTGCACACACTGCATACAGCACTGCTTGAAGCTTCTGAAAATCTGCACAGTGTCAGAGCCTGAATTAAGCTTATCTCCATCTCCGTAAATTACAGTTTTTTCTGCTCCATCAAGGTACTTTCCTTGCAAAATATGTCTTAGTAACTCAGCACATTCTCTAAGTTAATTATTCATAATGCATACACGTTTCTGAAGGTGATCTGCTAAAAATTTGTTGGAATATTTCTGTCAAGATACTTGACAACTCACTGGTACTGTGAAAATCTCCCTGTGGAAGCATTTCCTTGAAATTAAACCCAATTGTAGCGTCAGATGGAGTCTGCAAGTCAAGAAGGAAAGGACTACGAGCAACATAACAACCAAAGACTGCTCTGTTTTTACCATTTTGAAAGAACAGGTGCAGGGCAGCCTGGAGCCCAAGCAGATGTTTCCTCCAGGTCAGTGCCAGAAAAAGGACAAATTTTAGAAGAGAGAAAACAAGTTTGTAAAGAAGTGTCATAGCTCACCGTACAAGAACTGAGAACACTGGATATAACCTTCTTCCATCTCTTCACACTTGTCTGCAGCAGTTTCTATATCACTTATAGTTGAAGCAAAAATAGCTGCCCCAGATTCAACCAATAGTTTACAGAGATGAACACTATTGCAAGAAGCTGCACAATGCAAAGGTGTCCTGAAATAAAGCAAAAATGTAGAAATGAAAAAAAATAAATGCCAGGAATCCTAGCTATTTTGTCTTGCAATACAGATTGTCTGTTATTAAAGGAAGTTGTTCTTTGTGGGACACGCATGCACTGTTCAAAACAGGCCAAATGACTCTGAGTGGATTCCAGCATCGGCCTGACTCCAGTAAAGCCAAAACATAAAACAGATGTCATTTTATGTTGACTTGCATAGCTTGCAGTGCTGCTGGATATAAAACCAGTATTTTCCAATATTAGGAAATTTGAAAGGCAAGATAAGGTGGGGGACAAACTGCTAAGCCTCATGGCAAGGTTCCACATCTCCTCCAAACTCTTGACAGGTGCTACATCTACCTGCTAGGCTGCATTCTTCACAAAATCTGGGACTGGGTTATGTGAAAATGAAACTTCAATACATTTTTGTCATTCATTATTTAAAGTTTAATTACTTCAGCCTGTGAACAAGAAATTCACCTGTCCTTCTAAGTAAAAACAAAACGTACCATAATTTATAATGTGAACCTGCTTGCCCGTGGGGAACGGGCCTGTCAACAACGGAGCTCTGCATTGGAGTTTGTTACCATCTCAAAATTAGCAAGTCCTCATTTGCTGGGGACAAAGGAGAAGGAAATGGATCCCCAAGCAGGTCCCCACTAAATACTGAATTGGCATCAAAACAGCGTTCCTTCAGATGCTAAGTTAAAAAATCTTGCCACTTACCACCCATCACTATCTGCTGCATTTACATTTACTCCAAAATCAAGCAGGAACTTCACAATGTGGTGATGACCAGCACACACTGCATTATGCAAAGGTGTAATTCCTTCATCATTGGGCTTACTGGGATCATCAACCTATGGAAAACATGAAATAGTTCAGCACTTTTTTTTTTCTCTAGTATAGAAAGAAGTTCCATTTGTTTGGAAACTTACCTCATATATGATTCTTTGTACAAGATCAAATTCTCCCTCCAAAGAAGCATCTAGGAGAAGGGCCAATGGATTGAACTTCACTCTCAAACCGTGGCCTGTTCTTTCAGAGTTAGGTTTCTTCAGGTTGGTACGTTTGGTCTGAGTGGAAACGAAGGTTTAAAGGCATTATTTCAGGTTGCAGGAGTAGTGCAAACCACCCAGTTACTCCTTCACTAGAGAAGGAATCCCATCCTTCGATGGTCATAAGAATGATGCAAATGCTTCTATTATAAATCCTTTTAATAACAGAGTTGATATCTTACTATATCTTAGTAAAGATCAGAAAGCATGCCAACATAATCCAGCTACTCCTATTTAAAGCCATTGAGTACAAGCAACAAAGTACTCAAACCAATGGCTTTTGAGCACCACAATCCTAATGTGTATAATGTGAGCTGGATGTGTCTCTGGTGGATGGTTTGAATCACTGTCAAAGCTTAGATTAGAAAGCATGACACAATTAAGCACGAGGAAGGAAGTTTTCCCTCGAATTAACAAAGGTGTCAGCAGCAGGTCTGTACCAAACAGCTTTGCTGGGAGAAAAAAGTCTATGTAAAAAATATGTAAAAAAAGTCTAGTTTTATGTAACATTCAAGATGACATAACCAGAAGAAACATTCTCAAGATTGGAAACACATTTAAATGCGTTTTGAGAATAAACTGTGTACTTTACAAGTGTCTCTGCTACTTTTTGGAAAAAAAAAACTACTAATGAAAGCTTTGTGGAGCGCTTTAAGCCTGCAGAATCACCTGACTTGTTTTCTCCTATTAGTATGGGTATTTTACTTTAAAAAAAAAAAAAACAAACCTCTCACAGTATGAACAATATGTGTGTATGAACAACATGTGTTGCCAGCATATCCCATTCTTCCCGAAGTGTCTCGGCCCACACATCTCATGCAAAATGCACACAAAGCCCTGTGCACACTGCAGTCAAGTTATAAAAAGAATGTAAGCTCTTTGCAGAAGAACCTATGAAGCTCTAGGTGAATCGAGAAGCAGAGATGTGCCTTGAAATCAGTGTTGCAGTGAGTCATGTTAACAAGAAAGAATAAATTACAGTTTTTCTCCCTACCTTCAATTCTCCATCTGCTGTAAACTTTGCTAACAACAAAGTCAACTAGTATTTAAAAGATTTTGGTGCAGCTGGAGGAGGAACTTTGAAAGCAATTCAAATAGAGACAATCCATTAGAAAAAGATTCCTGCTAAAACAAGTCATCTGTGTTGCTGTTAGATTTGTTAGATTTTAGAGCCCTAGTCCCTACTGAGAGAGGAAAAGGAACACACTTCTCCCAGAATAGCTGTTTCAGCTTGTATGCTAATTAAGAATTTCCACTGCAGCAGCTTTCCCATTGGTTCATACAGTTATCTTTGCAGCCCTGGGGAGATTAAAAAATATCTTTAATGGTGCTTCATCTACCAGCATTAGCTCTATGACAGGTATATCCCACAATAAGTTATCGCCTAAATTGCACACACAGCCCCACACTGTGCATTTATTTTCCATATTAAACAGGCAGACTCCTAAAGAACCTGTTCTATCAGAATACTATTTGGAGTACCTTTATTTGTTCTTATTTTACTTTCTTTACTAAATCACAAAACTTCAAGTGCAAGTATGCCAGTTAGTATAAGCTTAGCCTCTTCCAGTTATGCTTTAGCACACAGTTAATTCTGCAGTTGACAAATTTGTCCTTTTTTTAGTTACTTACTGGAGGAAGTGGAGGAGGAAGAGCAGGTTGCAAAGGAGCTTCCTCTTCTGCTGGAGAGCTGACCTCAGGCGTGGGACTGGACGACTCTTCGGTAGAAGGAACTATAGCAACGTTGTTGTTGTTATCTTCAGTTGTCTCGGATGTTTGATTTGTAGTTTCAGTGCTTATCAGTTCCTCAGTTGCAGGGGAAGGTAATTCATTATCATTGGCATCTGATGAAGGGGGTGGCTCATCAGGAAGGGGAACTGTAGGTTGCACAGAAATAGGTTCCTCGATATTGCCATTGGTACTAGCGTTACCATTATCAACATCTGCTAAGATACCTATGAAGTCCTGGGGATTGCCTGGCTGGTAAAAAGGGGCGCTTTCTATTCCTCCAGCAAGAGTATTAAAGCGTTGATACAATAATTTTTGTATATTTGGTCCACTTGGGCCTTCTGGTTCAGTGATAGAACTACGCTTCTTTAACGGCCTAGGAGCGTTGGCCAATTTTCTTCGCAGAGCTTCAAGGTCAGCATCGCTTTGATATCGCAGGGGTGAATGCACAATGGGAGTGAGCTTAGTAGGACTGAGAGGGCGAGGAATGTTTTCCACATTGCTATTTTCACTGGGTGGTGGAGCATTTTCCAGCTCTTGGTCTTTTTCAGAGACGTCAGTCTGAGGCTGAGATTGTGGCTGTGAAGAGGTCTGGGCGGGCAAAGAGCCGTGAAGGAACGGCAGTGGTGAGGGAGAAGTTGAACCAGATTGTAAGACAGGTTTTCCATAAACTGAAAAGAAAAAAAAGAGAAAAAAAAGATGATGGAATACAATGAAGAAATATTTTCAAATTAGATAATGAAATATTTGCAAATACACTGTATGGTTTTGTTGCTATTTGTTTGACATCAGAACAGAAAAAAAATTACACTGAATCTACCAAAATGAAAACAAATAGTCAGCTGCTAGTGATGGCAATCACCAACTCTCTAGATGTGATTTTTTCAACTAATCTATAAAAAACCAGAATATCCAGACATATTGTTCTAATGGTATTCTGTTTTTAAATAAAAGGTGACTCAACGTATGCTTGTCACCCCGAAAATAAAAGGCATTTTTTTGTTGCCATACTGCATACAAAAATAACTTTTCTCATAAATTTAAGAGGTTTCGCAAACAAGATGCGATTTATACAGGTATGTAAACTAAGCTCAATAAACACATTTCAATTGCTTACTGCAAAGGTAAAAAGCAAAGCGACAGATATTGTACCTGCTTTTACTGACTTATTTAAGGTGTTATATACAGCTTGTTGATAATTCTTTGGTGGCGTTGCTTGCTGAAGATACATTGAGTAGATGGAACTGGAGTTCACCGTCTGTGGCCCTTTTCTGGGAGACTGAGGTCTTGATCCTTTATCAGCTAGAAAAGGTCTGATAGCCACAGTTAAAGGGAGTTCTGGCCTGCCATCTCCTCCTGGAAACAAGGGGGGTCCAGAGGGTTGGTACGTAGGGCTAGGAGGTACAGAAATTCTCTGCTGGATTTGTTGTGAGGAACTGGGTTGATGAACGCTGCTTGGCGGCAGAAGCGGAACAGGTCTTTGTCGATTTGCTATACTAGTTCCAGGTCTGGGCAGACTGCCGTCCTTCCTTCTTTCTAGAGAATTTGTAGAACCTGTTCCTAAGGGAACTGGGCTTGGATAGGTCCCATAGTTTTGAGGCAACTGCTTGCTTACACCGGGAATTGTTGGTGGTGGTACTTTCCCCAAGTCAAGACCCTATATAAAACAATAAAACACTATGTACCACTTAATTACATAAAACACTCGTGAGCAAGAATACTCCTCTTTCAACAGAACAGACTAATAATCTTGCGTGGCAGCATACAAGTACTGTGTTCCTTAATATGAAAAATTCTAGTTGAATTTATCACAAGACCTTACTGTTTAAAAGCATCTTCAGTTATAATAAATTAAGTGGAATCCAGAACCATCTGAATACTTTCAAAGCCTAAATGACCAGCTCTAGCTTCTAGATATCAGTACCTATTTGATAATAAGCTTTATAATGTATAGTGTGATAATATTGACAGTTTAACAAAACAATGTAAAGGCAAGGTCTATATTTTTTAAAGAATACAGTGTTAAAATTTCATGAAGTTCATTAAAATTCACATTAAAACTAGAACAACGGTGCAGACAGTCAACATCAGCTGAAGGATGGATTTAATGGTTTTTGTTGTAAGAAGTATTTTTACTAGAAAAAGACCATGTTGAAGAAGTGGTAATCTACACCAAGGAATAACAGCAACAAAATATTTGAATTGGAAAAATAGGAATGTGGGGAAGATTAGGACAAGCAAAGGGGGAGAAAAGAGAAGACCGGATATGGGAGAGAACAGGAAGGAACACAAACTGCTAAACTGGAAAAAAAAAACCAACCCCAAACGCAAAACAGAACATGAATTGTAAATGTAGTAGAATGGAAAAGTAGAAATAGAAAGGTAATTCATTTGTAATGTTTTAAGTAATTATCAGAAGGGAAATGTGTGGATATGTGAAGCAAGTTCAGCTATAAAAGCCAAAGATTCATGATTTTAGCAAAACAGATCTATAAATACACCACAGAGGAAACTCACCAGCTTATCAGTACTTCCTAATGCTGAAGCTGGCAAAGGTTGACTGGATATTGTTCCTTGTTTTAAAGCAGTATCCATGCTCGATTCTTTCCAGTCTGTGTTGGAGATCTGAGGGGGTTTTACCACAGGGGCTGAGCTCTGCTTAAGTAGGGGCCAGTTTCCATCGTTAGCTTGAAAACAGACAGAAATATTAGATTTAAAATACAACCATTGTAAAGAAGCAAAGCAACATCTAAAACTGAGCAAGTTAGATTACGATAGGATTAATTTGATTCTAGAAATCAGATAAATTGTTATGTTCGATTCAGAAATCAATACTGAAAGCCCAGTTCCTCTACTTAACACGATGTGTGTTACCCTTTGGCACACAAATTGTAACAACAATTCTACAGAAAAAAAAGACAGTTTAATTTTTTGTGTCAGTATTGCACATTCATTCTACTATTAAAAGGCAAACTCAGCTTAGAAAAAAAAGTCCTCACAAAAACACTTCAACATATTTATTTTGGTACCAACCAGAAACACTGTTGAATTACTCCACATGTTGAATCTATGTAAGCTCTGTGTGGATTTATTCCAAATGTAAACTATTGTTACTGGATTCATTGATTCATAACAGGAAACAAAAGCTCATCTCAAGAATGTGGCTGAACAAAGCCATACGTTCCTCTGCTGGAAGTGACTGTTAACTTACCTTTTGTTTTTCTCCTCTACACGCTCACCTGATCAGCACTGCCTCAGAGACTTAATTTTAAAAGAAATGTTTAAATTAATCTGATTAATCTGATAAGAAGTCACAGTGCCAAGATACAAGTCATGGGCTTTCATCTTCAACGCATGAAAAAAAATCACACTTAGCTGTATGTAAACTGAGGCAACAGATCCTTAATGAATCCTCGATGCTTCGATATGTTACTTCATTAACTGGAGTGGACTGCCTGCTTTCTGTTCCCAAGCAAGTGAGCTTCAATCATCTCACAATTAGATCTGTTTTACAGTAACTACACAGATCCTTGGTTAGATTCCAAGGCTTTGATCTGCCTCTGAAAGATTAAGCTTCGTATTTCTCTGAGGAGATTGAGATCACTTCTCCTTCCCTATTCCCTAATTCCCTGCAATTATCTCAATAAAGCACTTTGTATAACAATCTGTCACACATAACTAACTTCACCAGCAGATGACAACTAAGGTGAGGGGAGAGTTACTGAGATTTCTGGACCCCATAGTAAGACAAGGCCAAATAAAAACCTGGTATTTAACGACAACATTTCCTGTTTATTTTCAGTTTTAATTACTTAGAAAACAGAATCAGCAAGACTATTTCTAGGATTCCATGCCATTCTCTGTTTAGTATAGATAGCAGTCTAAGCATAAGATGCGAAGAAATATCCTAATTTCACTGAATATAGCTTTGGCACACTATTTTCTACACAGGAGCCTTATCCTCTTTATTGAGCATCGCATTTCTTCCCCCGACTGAAATGACAAGCTGAAGATTTCCGGCCAACTGCTACCCAGTTTTTCACTGTATGAATGTAAATTCATTCTATGAGCTCACACAAGGTGCGTACAGACTGTTCCAACATACAGACTGTGTACAGATGTTCCAGTCATATCGTTTACTTTTAAATGAAAAAAAAAAATTAAAATTATACCTTTGCATATGAGCTACCCTACTGTTTTTTAACCATTCACAATTCCAAGGAATGGTCTGCACATATATAGTAAGGCAATAACCTTTCAAATTAAGATCAATTATGTTTCAGTTACAAGAATTACTTTGGAGCAACATTATTTTTGTGGTTGGTCATTTAAATAGTATTAACATTGACAATATAGTATATAATCCACAAATCACCATTCCAAGTTGCAAACTGTCAGGAAGTGATGCAGTGCAGTATCCAGGAACACAACCTGTTGGGTTCTTTAGTTTCTTGTTGTTGTTTCTTTGTTTTATACCACCCATCTGGTTATCAAGAGCCAGACCAAAAGATAAGCCTGTCTAAACCCTTTTACCCTGAATAATGGCAATTTTAAAAATTCTATCTTACTATACAAAACACTCCATAATTGTAGTAAGCATCCTTAGCCCTAAACTTAGCACTTAGAGAAACAACAGCAAAAATCCTCATGAATTTAATTATCTTACCCGCATATACAAGCTCATACTCTGCTAGAAAGACAGTTACACAAAATACTTTTGTAATCCTTCTCTTTCCAGATAGGATCATCCCTGAATTCTGAAGTAACAGACTGTAAATAAATTCAGACTCACTCTCCTCTGACTTCTCTCTTTTGTTCTTACATATATGAACATCTGAATGTAACTGTTCCCATCTTCACATCCTTCACATTACAATCTGCCAGACTTGCAATTAGCATGCATTTCCTATGAGTGCTCTTTCAGAAACTCCCACAACTCCAGCTTGATCTCACGCACTTTACCAAGCTGCTGTTGCAATTTCCAGTTGCAGTGCACTGTGCCAGAGGTTGTGATAGGTGCTCAAGAGGCAACCAAACAGCAACTGCCTTCTGGCCTTGGTTTGGCTGAGCTGCTCCCAGACACACTTAGCCACCTGATGGCAACACCCTTTTGCAAGTCCTAACGAGTTCCTGCTCTTAGCTCTCTGGTAGCCATTTCAACCAACAGGTTTCATTTTATCTTCCAAAGGCATCCTGTTGTCTACCTGCTTTTAAGACTACCTAGCACCCAGTGCATTTCAACTCCCACCAAACACTTTTCTATTTACATAAGTAAGTCAGTGGCACACATACACACAACAGTCCTTGTGTACTTTCTCCGACTTCACCTAAAAATTATTGTAGGTCCAGTTCCGTTATACTTACTCCAGCAAGTGAAGTGTAAACCAAGTAATAGCATTTTCATCCTATTGAAGACAGCAAGATTCTTGCTACTGACTTGGAGAAGCTGAGCTTTTATCCCATCTCCGGGGCCGGTGCAACACAGAAACTTTGCATAGAATAGGTGAAGTTAAACATGTATGTGTTATATCTATCTAATCTGAGACACAGTAAAACATGCTTTGCTGATTTATTGCCACAATTTTTCTCTCCATTTTTTCCCCAAGTTTTTTTCAGTGAAGAAAACTCATCTCTAGTATACTACTGCAGTACTGTAAGAATGAATTTGCTGCAAATCCCTTTCCTTCAATGGTGAAAAGCAACATCTAAACAATTTTACACTTCAACAGCATCGACTGCATAGCACAACACAGGTTCTTAAGATGCTGGTTAATACGCATCTGTATGCAAGAGCTCAGATGACCATATTAAAAACGGAATTCTTAGCTAGCCAAAGATCTTCTACGGACTCACAGTGCTGGGTGTCAAAGACAGTAGGTGCCAGACGGATGACATTGTGAACGGCAGACTGAAGAGAAGTGGGAGATGACAGAATAGGATCCGCTATTATGTCTAAATCAGAAACCTTCCAGGTGTCTGGAGATTTTTTCACACACCCCCAGTCTGTTTCTACTGGACACACCAAGGCAGATCCAGTTACACAGAAAAAGAAAGAAAAAAAAAAGTGGTGGAGAAATTATAACAATGACAATGGAGAAATCAGAACAGGAGCACTGAGACAATGACAAATAAAAGCATGACAGCTGGAAAAAAATATCTCACTTTTCTTCTTGGGAGAGTATATAATTCTCCTTACATAAATCTACCACAGGACATTCTTCAAGTATACTCAGAATAATAAGCACAAAGTCAGTCCTAAGGTAGAATAATTACTTTTACAAAAATCAAAGAATTCTCATTCACAGATTATCATAACCTAGTGAATTTAGTCTGCAAGTAGGAATATGTATCTTGCAAAGCTAATATTTTTAAAGAGGTGAACTATTTGTTGTTGGTGAGCTAAAGTTATGAACTGTTCCTTCTATTTATAGGAGAAGAATCCACACGTCCAAACTCCACACAGCTGCAATTCTGCCCTTTTAGTCTCACAATGAAATACTTCCATATCATTAAGATTTTTCCATAAAATTGCAAAGATTAGATTTCTATCAAACTGAGGATATCTTCAGATCACTAACATCAATAGAAAACACGCTTTTGCTGGAGGTTCAGGTCTTCCTCCCTGTTTGGAATCATGCTGCAAACTTTGCTGGAGTGCCCAGTTTTAAGTACTGGAATGCGTGTGAGCATTTCAAAAGCTCTGCTACAGAGGTCATCCCTTACCTTATTTTCAGATCTCTCCTAAGAGATCATGAAAATCAAGTCTTGAGGTTAAGATTGATAGGATCATGAATGTTTACTTGTATTATGCATGTTTATTTTCATACATAAATCAATGAATTGGATAAACCAGTAATTGTATTTATTTGTATTAAGTAAATGAAGCTAGCCACTTCTTAAGAAGTGTGATTTTGTTAAGATGTGACCACACAAGCATGCTTTACAAAAATGAAATCTTAAGGCAAAAATGTCACGATCTGCTTTTGTCAGCTTAACATAAAACAAAAAGTGTTCTCTACTTTACAAAATAAATAGGTTATTTATGGGGGACATGGGAAGCAATTTCGGATATCAGTTATGCCTCTGGAGGGACAGCTCTGTTACTAATGAAAACAGATACAAATAAACAGAATCAATACTAACATTATTCCATGTCAGAAATGCTTCAGTAAGCGCAAATTCTCCTATCTCAGTTGGAACAAATACCTCACGTAGCCTTATTACATTTTCCTATTTGGTCTCCTTCTGAGAACTAATATTATTTCTACTTGTTCAGTAGCTTTGGTTTACTTGATAAAAAACAACATACCATAAAGAGTTGTTTATAATATTGTTTGCCACAAAGTTATTTCATTACTATAATCAAAGACACAAAAATGTATTAAAGACAGAGCAGTTAATTCACAGAATATGTAAAGGAACATGCACTCCTTTTATTGGTGTGTGTACCACAAAGTAAAACTGCAAAGAAAATACCCTCCTTCTCCTTAGGAAAATTAATGAGCAGAATAAAAATGGCTCATATCAAATGAGCAGTGCCCAGTCCAGAGAAAAGTACCGACGACATATGATTCTACTTTTACTGCTATAGAGATTGTCCCAAAACAGAATCTTCCTTATTACTCCTTTCCAAACAATGTATATTAATATATTAATACTTAATATATTTATTTACTTTATGTACTTTATTTACTTTATGCATTTTATATTTATCATATTTTTTATATTTAAAAAAATATTTTACATACTTATATTAACACTTACCAGATTTTGATCTTCCATGTGTTGCACTAGAAGCAATGGTGAGAGTCTGTGGTTTGACTGGATCTACTGGCACAGCATAAGTGCCAGCACTTGGAACTTGGATGTAGGGTCCCACTGCTGCCACCCTTCCTGAAGCACTCAGAGATGACTGGGGTGATGAAGTTCCATTAATACGATTCAACTAAAAGTCAGAGAAATTGAAACGTGAACTTCCATTTAATTTAGGCATTCATCCATGAACTGGAGGTCTACATTTAATTAAATACAACCATGCACTGGAGCTAATTCACTTTAAATAAATTGCTATACTTAATGCTTCTAATCAAAAATGGAACTAGAAAACCAAATTTTATTTCCTAAAACCAACTCCTCAAAAATTAAATTTCTCAGTAGTTGACATGAGGAAAACTGTTACTGTATAACGTTTCTTTACATTCTGCCTTCTTGGGCAAATTGATCTTTTTTTTTTTTAATTATTATTATTTTCTTTTTTAAGTCAACATCTGCAGCTGGGAATACATATGGAAATCCAGAAGTGATCTCTAGAGGAATGGTCTACTTTGCAACTGATTTCTAGTCAAAGTCTCAGACAAATATTAGGACTAATGTTATCAGACCAGTCACATTTTTTTGTAAGTTTTCTGCTCCATGGCAAACAAATGAAGGACAACCCACCTTCTTATCCTGTTATGCTTTGAAGTACAGCCCAAAATCATGCTTTCTTTTCTACAGATCTAAGCTACTATAAATTTTAATACAGTATGGTCTGTCACATAAGGAAAAATAAGGTACATTCTGTCCAACAGTTTTCTCGTATCTGTGGAAAACCTTAAAATAGTTTTAAAATGATTGCTACTTAGCTGGGAAAAAGTGACATGCTATGTAGTCTATGTAGTTTTAATAGGCTGCTGATAAACTAAAGTGTGGCCCTTTTAATAGTTTATCTTACAGGAATGTTTTCTTTTTGACGTGCCTCAACTTTTTTCTTGTATAGTCGTTCACGCAGCTCGTTGATTCGCTTGTCCATCATTGCCACTTCCATGTTACGTTTGTTTAAGAGTTCTTTCTGCTGCTGGAGCTTGGAGTTCTGCTCCTGATTAAGCCTGTTCCTAATCTAAACAAATAAACAAACAAATAAATACAGACACACTTTTAGGAAAGTTATTTAATTTTGTCTGTTACCTAGTTTGTTTTGCCACAGTGGCAAACTGAATATCACTGAAATGTTAAGTGGGATAAAACTTTTGACAGTAATTATGCTATTGATTCAATTTCCAGTTCCAGATGAAATTTGGATGAGTGGATAGGAAGTTAACTGAACTGCAAGGACTAGATGCAGATTTTCCTCTCTCTGTGGAAATTAAACTGAATCCTCCAAAGCAGGTTTCCAGCAAATTAGGGGATGAATTACCTTTATAGTTTACCTTACAGTTTAAATCAACCATGACATCAACCATGACATCCTTTATAATAATTTTATTTGCATTCCCATTGGCATTTTTTCATGCCTTCAATGGCAATCATTCCATATTAAAAAATAAATAAATCCTGAGGCAAGTTTAAGTCTTGATAAACGTGTCTGGGATCATTATGAAGCACAAGTAAGAAATCTTAATCAATTGAGCATCTTTGCATTTAGAAATACATGGAAAGCAGATACACCTTTTATAAACTGAAGGAGGAAAAAAGGACCTATATTCCTAATTTCTGAAAATGTGAGACAGATTATCTGGTATGTTATGTTTGCTCATGTAAAGAAATGGTTAGACTTATCTTGAAATTTAAGTTATTTCTTAATGCTAAATATATATTAGATCTGTTTCCATGTCACAGTAGAGTATGTGAATAAATTTTAAATCTCCAGTGCTGATATGTTGGCACATTAATTATTCTGCAAACTTTCTACCAAAAAATAACAAAACTTCAATGTGAATGAATATTTAATTACTGACGTGAAAACTACACTGGAGATGAACCAGTGTTTTTTGAGAAAGATGTATGACAGCAGCACAGTGTATACTGGAATACTGTGCAACTACAGTGTACTACAGTGTAGCAAGTGAACACAGTGCAGCCTGTATTTTTGATGATTTTGTTAAAATGTTAGTTCATGTTAATTTCTGATATAGCCATGACCTTACACATTAATAACATCCCAACACACCAGTTTTATGAGACTGCAGTACCAAATGCCTATCCATAATGGCAGTAACATGACTTTTCTTAATCTACATCTGTCATTTTAATCGTGTCTCTGTGTTACTTACCTGTAGCTCTTGATATAATTTTTTTAATTCCACTGCTGCAGGTCCTGTTACTTGTCCATTGTAAGACTGAAACCCATTCAGTTTCCCTTTCCTTAAGTCTTCCAGTTGCTGGGTAAGTTGATCCACTTTCAATACTGCAGCCTGTAGCTCCTGCTGCTTTTCCTGGAACATGGCACTTATATGCTCAATTTCAGTTGCTAAAATGAATGAGACAATAATAAAAAACAAGTAGAGGGGAGTATTAATTTATAATTCTCTTAAGTATTGGGCAAGTACAACACGCTAGTTTTAAACACAGTATAAACATTTAAAAACTTACAATGTGTTGGAAATTTGTTGATGTTTATAATAGCTACTGATCACTTAGTCTGATCACTTGTTCTGAACAGGAATTTACACCAAGTATACATTTTCTAGAAGCATGGCACCCTCTCTATGACAAATAAACATCCCATCTGAAATCCTGTTAGCATACACACCGTTACACCAGGTATACACTGAACAGACAATGAAATAAATAAAAACACTTAGAAATTCTGCATACACAGATTGCCATTCATGATCTTGCTATAGTCCACTTGTCCTCTCATGGCACGGATTTTTTTCAACTTTGTCTCCTGGGTTTCAACGCGTTCTTTCAGTTTTTGAAGCTTTTCACTCTCTGACACAGACTGCTGCTGACGACGCTCTTGCTGCTTCAGATAACGTAAACGTTGTTCCTAACAGAAGAAGATTTTAGACAAAAAGTACTTATCACCCTTTTATACATTAAAAAAAAATGGTCTTAGTAAAACCCACCACTATGATTGGTGTTTTTTTGTGTGTGTTTGCTTATTGTTATTTGTTTCTTGCTTTCCAGAAATCAGAAAAAGTTATATCTACTGAAAACATACGTCGGTCTTCCTGAGGAAAAAAATCCTCTCAACTCTTGTTTTAAAGCACAGAAATGCACAAGTTTTTAGACCAAATATACATATTTACATATTTACCAAATTTACATATACATGCAAAAGAAGCCCTGGCCTGAACCATCAGACACAACCATCTGTCCTCTGGCATTTGGTTTTGGCTGCTATTAACCCTTTTCCTGCTGTAGCAAAAGGAACTTTCCATAACTGTTATGAAGCTTCACAAAATGTGAAATTTATGCTCTGTCTCTGAATGTGTTCAAGGCCAGGTTGGATGGGGCCCTGGGCAGCCTGGACTAGTATTAAACGAGGAGGCTGGTGGCCCTGCATATGGCAGGGGGTTGGAGATTCATGATCCTTGAGGTCCCTTCCAACCCTGGCCATTCTGTGAAAGTATACAAAATACACCCAACAGATGAGTCTAAACAAGCTGATCTACTGAAAGATAATGTTTCAGATCTAAATAACAGTCCTTTCATTGGTCACATAATGGAAATATTTCTGTTTCCTGTATTAGTTTCATTAAAAACAAGAACAACGGAATTGTTACATTGATTCCTTTCAAAAGATGCTGCATTGTACTCCAAGCATCCAAGGCACATGGCATTTTGTACTACCTGAACTACGTCAAAAACATTAAAGTCACTCCCCACTCCGAAAATCTACTCAGATTCTCACATCTCATAGATTCTGGAAACATAATAGATGAATATATATGAAATGGTATCTCACACCTGGTACTATACTAAGGTGAATGAGCTAGTAGAGATGAGCACAGTCAAGTGCAGTCTGCCAGAGATCACAAAACAGAAAGATGTAGAATCTAGCAATATTTTTACCAAGATACATAACTATTGGCTTGACACATTATCATTTGACATGCTATCATTTACAGTGAAATGTTTTTACATTGCCTAGCTAAAATTAACTTGGCAAAACAACAGATTTCTCAAGCTCCTTTAACTTATGTAAAATGAATTAGTGCATTTTCCATATCCAAGTAGACTTATGTTTGCTTATGTTTAAGTAAATTAGATTTGTTACAAGTCTCCATATTTTGTTTGCTGTTAATTACCTTAGCAACCAACATTTGCTGCTGGTTTTCAATCTGCTGTTGTTGTCGAGCAGCCATATCTTGAAGTTCAGAAAGAGTGAGCTCAACGCGTGGATTCCCAACCTGCAGACCAAAAAATGTTACGTCAATACATGCAATGTTCTGACACTAGAATTTTCCTCAACAGAGGAGGCTAATGCCTCATTCCAAGCTCTCAGAGGACTAAAAATGACAGATATCTATTAGGGAATAAGGAACCTCAGAGCAAAAAAAGCAGTAAGTAGAAAAGCAGAGGAAAGGGAACACTAAGAAACAAAGCACAGAAAAAGGTTCTCATCTTACATTTAACTTTCCTAAGATGATGTGTAAAATTGGCATTTGCTGATACTGCACGTACTGTAACAGACATGTAAGCAGGTATACTAAACAGAAATTGGAACCTGAATCTTCTTTCCTACCATTTTCAGTGTAAGTGCCTTGGCTGCTTTAACTGGTGGATAGCATTATTTACCTACAAGTACACATGAAAACATGTAGTTAAAGGCTGTCCTGAAGCACACATCAAAATTTCACAGAATCCCAGTATGGCTTGAGTTGGAAGGGACTTTAAAGATTATCTACTTCTGACTGCTCTGCCATGGGCAGGGACACCATCCTATAGACCAGGTTGCCCAAAGCCCCAGCCAGCCTGGCCTGCAATGCTTGCAGGGATCTCGCATCCACAGCTTCTCTGGGCAAAGCTGGAGTATTTAAGATAAGAAACTGTGAAAAACAGTTTGTGCAACGTGAAGTGAAGTGAAGGTGATTCACTTCCGATGCCTGAGCAGAGCCTGATTAAAGAGACAAGGCCCCAGCCTCAGATCCCCCAAGAAAGACTCTCTGTATGGCCTTAGTGTAAAGACATCAGGATGCGTTTTGCTGCTAATCTTAGTCTGACAGACCAAGAAGAATGGCTGTCCCAGACAAGAAGTCTTGCTGGGAGCTCAACAGGAGGATTTCAAATAAAGGTTATAAAATGGCAGGGCATGCTGTTCTGCTCTGGGATCAGTTAAATGTGTGCTAGAGATCTTCATGGTTTAAAAAAGGGAAAGAAATGCTTATAATCAATGACAGCAGTTTTGTTACTGAGGCAAGATTTAGAGAAAGCCCAAACTCACAGAGGAAAGAAAAAGTTACATGAAAATTTAACACTGGCAAATCTGAATTCTGGTGACAAAGAGATTATTTAAAAGCTTCATTTTAGGAACAAGAAGGACAGTAGGCAATTACATAAAAATGTATGAGGAATCTCTGATCTTTCTACATTGTAAACATTCAAGGCATTTTAGGGAAGGCCATAGATATTAATGGAGCCTTATCACCTTTTTGCATTTCAAAACTAATAATTTATTTGCAACAAATCAAAGTAGAGAGGCATTACTGACAATTATTTGAAGTCTACATAATGCAATGCCAGTGTGTGAGACCCTGTTATACGTTTTTAAAACTGATCACATTGCTAATGTTCACTGTTTCGCTGACAAACATAACTGATTTAAATCCATACATTAAATTATTCCAACCTCTTTTTTCACCATGCAATCACAAAAATGTACGGTGTAATAAGACAAATTACAGAAAGTGGCACTTGCAAATACCTGCTTTGCTACTCAGAATAAAAACAGTAATAAATTAAAAAGCCACAATCTTAAGAAATGAAGATTTTTTTCCTGAAAGAGAATTTCAGCCTTTGAAAAATTACATCCCAAAGTTGGAAAGTTCAAAAAAACTATCTTGAAGATAGTACACAGAATTTGGTCAGGTGATTGGATCATTGCAAAAAAACAGATTAGTGCATTGTAATAAATAATGCAGCACCTTCGCCAAGCTACAAGGCTATGCTATTAGAGAACTAAGTTAAAATTCCATGATTTCCTATCTTCATTATAGTCAATGCAATGTTAAAAAAGTAAAAAGAATTAAATGTTTTGGATATATTGAGAAATGAAACTCTTCAAGTGATTGCTTACAAAATGGAACACAGTCTAGAAGTTTTACAGACTGAGAGGAAAAAAAGGAAACAAAAATAGAACTCCAATTAGTATTTTCTATTTCAACACTGAGTGAATACAGCAGTTTAAAAAAAGACTGAACTCAGTAGTGCCTGTTTTTGTTGTTTTCTTCTACTACTAGCATTACTTACGAGAGAAGAATCTTTCACAACATTCTCTAAAGCCAAATAACATGCGTGCACTTGTGTTCACCACCTAATATATCAGAGAAATATTTCACTTTTAATTACAGACAGAAAGGCTTGAAATGGGTAAGAAAACAAGGAAATTTTTTCAAGTGCCATCCCTCAAACAAAACCACTTGAGAAACTAAAGTAGCATAGGAAAGCCAGACGCTGCTCCTAGGACGTATTCATGCTCTGCTGCATTCCTTTGGCATGGTCTTTCACCAAAAGAACATAAACCTCCAGTGGACTCCATACGTAAGTCTTAAATGGGGCTCAGAATGGGCTGAAGTCTACTGGATCACTGATTTTAAAAGAAACAGTGGAGAAAAAAAGGAAGCATTTTTCCATCACAAATATGGTTTCAAAAATAGTCTGATGCAAGTTGTGCCTATCTTTCTATCACTGGGAAAAGTATTCCCAGTGCTTCTTTCTTTTCTGCTTTGATTATCAGTTTGAGTTTACACTGAGAACTCATTCTATTTCTGCTTGCGTTAGTACTTTTCAGTACTGTCCAAGAAATAGATGCTCCTTCCTGCAAAGAAATCTTGTTTAAAAATATGTCCAGACTGAAGAAGTGGGACACCTGTGTAATGATCAAACATTTTTCAAGGAAAGAAAGCCATTTTACTGAGTAAAAATTACAGATTTCCTAAGTGAGATGTGTAACCCTCAGTGTACAATGACATTAAGGAATGGTTTGTAAAACCACCAGAAACAAAAACTAGCTTGATCTAAAAGCTCAGGATTGTTACTGCTTTAAAGAAGCATATCTGAAAGTCCATTTGACAATGCTTGAATAAAGTACTGCATCACTTTGTATTATGTAAAATAGAAGAAAAATTACAAGATGAATGTTAATACTAGCTTCTTAAAGAAGCTATGAACTGTAGGAAAATATTCTGTTTAGAAAATGGAATGTCTAAAACTAACTTTTATACAGAGCAAAGCATGAGAAACACTGATAATTAACCACTTACATGTAAATGTCCTATGAGAATCTTTTTATGTTTACCTCACTGAATACAACAACACTTGTTCTTTCCATTTTAAATAACTATACTACATCTAGTAAAGATAAGAATAAACATTTGAGGAAACAAAGTTTTAAACCTGTAGCTTCACTCTGAGTTTCTTCTTTTTCATCCACATGATAGTTAACAGATCAAGCAGAATTCCTCTTCAACATCAAGTCAGTTATTTTCAGAAAGACTGGAGCTGATTTCAGGTCTCCAAAAGAGGACAGCATCATTTTTGAAAAAGTATGAAAATGAGCGAATCTTTCTCTTGCAGAGATCTATTTGAATCAATTTGTTTTGAACATCTCATGTTAGTTGAGTCGGCTTCTAACAAGCTGTATGCAAACACTGCTGCTGCAAAGAGTCAGTCCCAGTCCTTTCTTCAGAGCCCCATATAATGCAAGGCAAAGGGATCAGTGTACTTTCTCAGTTCCTTAACAAGGTTGTTGGTTCCTCAGTTTCTTAAGTTTGCAGCGTTCATACCAGTCATTAACAATTTCATACATGAAGTGACTCACCTTTCATAACAAACATAAGCCTATTACATTTAAAGTCAGACCTCCTCCTTTTTCCTGCAGCAACAGGAACCTACCTCCCACAGAACTGCCTTCTAAAGGACGTACCAAACAGCCACTGCAAATATCTACTCCTACAGATTCCACAGATTCATTTGCTACGCGGTGATACATCAAAGGAGACAATTTTGCTGATTTGTAAATTTCTTTTCATTGATTCACAGAAGCACTTACACATAGAGATGAACACCTTAATAAAATCCTGTTGAGCAAACACTGCGTTATTAGGCACAGAGGTGTTATTACATATGTTTCAGACAAAAATGCAGTACACTTATATTCCATAATTTCTTAGGATCAACAGAAATCTCAAAAAAAATACTGTCTTTATTTTATTTAGCATGTCGCTTTAAAAAGTTACGATGAGAGAGAGAATTTGTAATGAACTGCAGTTTCAGCATCTGGCATTATCCTCCTCTACAAGCCAGTATGTTACCATTTGATGATTAATATTTTCGGGACAGGTGAGATGAATGGAACAGTAGTAATTAAATAGTTTGGAAGCCAGATTATAAGCAGCCTCAAAGCAAGTCATTCCTTAGATATTTAATTAAGAGGAAGAATCTCCTAATAATGAATTCTGCACATTAGCCTTGTCACTCTGAAAGCTCATTTTTTTGATCCTCCTTCCTTTATTTCTGTCCTCACACAATGCTGTTCTGTCTATCACCACAAACTCCTCAGTCTCTCTTTACTCAGTCTACATGCTTCTGAGCAAAGAGGAAAAGGTATGCTCCCTGGAAAGCCACAACAGTAAAAGAAAAATTGCATCTGAACTCAAATTAATTTCTTGACAATCAGAATGTATTTAGTCAGACATTCAAAGCATAAAGGCAGATCCCAAAAGTTTTTTTGTTTTTATTTCCATCCAAAGTTAATCTTCTAAGGGAAATCAAAAAGCTATGGGAACTGACCTTTCAAAAAATATTTTTTAGAAAGGTGATGTGGATGTGGTTTGATTTTGTGCACTTCTCTGTCTCGCTGCCTGAGCCATAAAAATACTTTGATTTTTTAAGTTTGCATTTATAAAAACAAAACTACTCTGAAAATAACATGAAAAAAAGTCCACCAAACCCATACCTGAGAATGCTGTGTTTTCAGAAAAACACAGAAAAAGCAAAACAACAAATACTCCAAAGCTTTACAGGCACCATACTGACTGGCAATCTCATGATTAGGTTTGGCAATGCCTAGCTACTCAAATAGCCAGCATAGAACATAATTCAACCAATTAACTGAAAAAGAAAACCCAATCAACACAAGCATTTATCAACCATTTCCTGCACACCGTCTCCACAGATCTTTCCCTAGGTT